TATGGGAGATCAACAGATATCCTTCTGTGTGATGGGAAGCGGCAGAGTGCCTGATGGACATCTGGTCCTCATTCACATCACAGCATGGTCTATCAAGCCCCATACTCACCGGCATTGAAAGGGGATGCCCTTTACCTGGAGTCCTGTAGAAGTGCCAACTCAGCCTGGTGCAACCGGCCCATCCCCACTGCAGGTGTAAAGGTGACGGTCAGGACAAAGCCTTTTTGCCTCAACCTGCTCCTTCCTCTTAGCGGCAGAGATGGTAAGAGACTGATAGCTAGGCAGAGAGAGGAATAGGGGTCAATCGGAACCTGGGAGGTAGTTATCTCAATCCCCAGCGAGTCAGGAACGCTATCAGCAACAGATGAGAAAGAGAGTGTTGAGAGTTGAGCTGGACTGCAGTTAGCTAAGCTGGGATGTCGCTTTGAAGCTACCCTGGACGTTCCTCTCTCGGAATCTGACACACAGTGGTTATGTTTGCTTAGAGGAGTGCCTGTTTGCTTCCAGTCATTCTGCTTACGTGTTTGCAAATGAAGCAAATAGTATAAAGTCTATATTGTAAATTCCCCCCGTTTACTAGACCATGCTCATGCCAATCAACCTTCTGTGGTGCCAGCTTTCCTGAAATATATAGGGAAGGTCTGACTGCCAGCAAATATGGCGATGGTATATTGCAATACAGAATTCTTCACTCTCTCCTGCTTTTAAAGGGGAACATACATGTAATTTTATGTATGTCTCAAATCATATTCCAATTACATATCTATACAGAAACTGTCAAGGTTGAATTCAGCTTTAATTTAAATCTAAAATAACCAGTTTTATTCTGGAATGTAAATATCCTAAGGAAGTAGCTTGTAAATGAACCTGGGGTAGCACAGTAGAGCATGAGCGTCTTAATTTCAGGGCTGGGAGTTTGAACCCCACATTGAGCAAAAGATTCCTGCCTTGCAGGGGGTTCGACTAGATGGTCCCTTCCAACCCTACAATTCTATGATTTTATGACTATCCAGCCATCCTTTTAGACCCCTTCCATGCTACACCCCTGCCTCATTCCTTACCTTCAGCTTGGCTTCCAAGGAGATTGGCAGTGATACTGAGGGTTGCTAAATATAATGAATATTTTTATACATATGAGAAAGCTGAAGCTGAAAGAATATCTGCTTCTTTTCGGCTAACGGGCTTAATGATGAAGAGATTTGGCTGCATTTGTGATTGGCGGTGACTGGGAATTTGTCCTTCAATCAGAGTAAAACCTTAATCCAGAAACCTAAAGATTAAGCTTCCATCTGTGAGTTTACCATCTGTAAACTCAATAATGCTCTACTGCTCCCCGGTCCTGTATTTGGACGCACCCAGGGGACAGGGCTGTGCGTGGGGTGCCCCTCGGGAGCGACCCCTGCCCACTGGTGTCCTGGCGAGCCCCACACTGCTTTCGGGATTGGTGCTGGCAGCTGTTGCGTCCTTCTCCCGGTGCCCTCCAGGCAAGCGCCCTGCGCCCTGGCCCAGTGACTGCCAGCAGCCCCCCCCCCCCGGTTTTGTGGATTTTGACCGCCTTGATATGGCCAATGCAATGCAGTGGGGCTGATACTAAACTCACACCACTGCCAAATTAGCTGGCAACAAGCACTTTGAACAGCAGCTGTTTTTCTGAAGATCAAGAAGCTAAAAATAATTCCTTCATGCGGTATTGCCCACTGGACTTGCATACCCTTCAACCCTTCTATTTTCTTTGATGAAAATAGGTACGTCCTATTCCATAATAATAATAATTTTACTATTTAAACCCCACCCATCTGACTGGGTTGCCCCAGCCACTCTGGGCGGCTTCCAACATATATAAAAACATTAAACATAAAAAGCTTCCCTGTACAGGGCTGCCTTCAGATGACTCAGGGGTCAGATAACTCCATACCCTCCAACATTTCTCTGATTAAAACAGGGACGTCCTGGGAGGAGCAGGACATTGCTGGATCAAATCAGAAACCAGTATGGCTTCTGTAAATTCCAGATTGTCCCTGGAAAATAGATTGCACATGTTGGACGGAGAAGGAAGCGTTTTGTTGTGTAGCCTGTTTCTGACTCATTGTGTCCGTGAAGTCTTCAGAAAGAGACAGAGAACTCCAATCCTGTGCCAAAGTTTTGCCTTTTTTTGCAGTGTTTTGTAGTGAAAAGCCTGCATTTTGCAGTGTCCCACAAACTTGGTAATTTATACATCAAACATGGGGTTCATACTAAGCATTAACTACAAAACCCAAAATTTGGAACCCCCTCCAAACTGATGTCAAACTTTTGCTGCTGTTTTGTAGCGTTTCGCAGTGAAAACCCCACATTTTGCAGCACTCCACAAACTGAGCAATTGCTACAAACCCGGTGTTATCCGATTCACTCCAAACTGGTGCCTGACTGAGATGCAGACTGGTGTACAAACACATTCTTGGTAAAAAAGAAAAACTCCATTTTTTATTGTATGATAAGTTTAAAGCACACATATGTTGAAGATGCCCCAAAGGGCTCTTCATGGGAAAGAGAACTTGCAAGTCACTACTTTCAAATATGTCTGGTACAGTGGTACCTCACAAGACGAATGCCTCGCAAGACAAAAAACTCGCTAGACGAAAGGGTTTTTTGTTTTTTGAGCTGCTTCGCAAGACGATTTTCCCTATGGACTTGCTTCTCAAGATGGAAACGTCTTGCAAGTTTGTTTCCTTTTTCTTAACACCGTTAATACAGTTGCGACTTGACTTCGAGGAGCAACTCATAGAACGCGGTGTGGTAGCCTTTTTTGAGGTTTTTAAAGACTTTGGTGATTTTTGAAGCTTTTCCAAAACTTTCCCGACACCGTGCTTCGCAAGACGGAAAAAATCGCAAGACGACAAAACTCGCGGAATGAATTAATTTCGTCTTGTGAGGCACCACTGTAAATCCGAATTCTTGGTAATGGCTCCCCTCTCCATTTAATTTTATAATTCAAATCCTACAGGTGACCTTTCATGAGCAGCTTTCTTGATTTCTGGTTCCACAGTCACAAAAAAATTTCCTGTAGGTATTCAGGAACTACACTGAATTCCTCTTTAGTGGGGTGGGAGAGCTGGGGGGGGCAGGAATCACAGATAGCACATGGGTAGACAAGTCTAAAAAGCGCATGACACAAATTTGCCCAGCCTTCTAGCGGTTATGGTGGCTCATTTACCAGAAGTAATGTATTTAACATTAATTCTGGAAGTGTACACTCGATTCTGACCAATTTTAGCCTCCTAAAGCAAAATATGCATCAGGATTACCCCCCCCCAAAAAACCCCATAGAATCATAGAATTGAAGACTTGGAGGGGACCCCAAAGGTCATCTAGTGCCCCCCACTGCAAATATGGCCATAAAACCTTCATCCCCAGGCAGGTGTGGGGGACTCCCTGGTCCTGAATGGAATAACTGTGTGCCTGAAGGACCAGGTGCACAGCTTGGGAGACATTTTGGATTTACAGCTGTCCAAGGAAGCACAGGTTAATTCTGTGTCCAGGGCAGCCATCTACTAGCTCCATCTGGTACACCGGCTGAGATCCTCCCTGCCTGCGCTCTGTCTCGCCAGAGTGGTACATGCCCTGGTTATCTCCTGCTTGGACTTTTGCAATGCACTCTATGTGAGGCTACCTTTGAAGGGGACACCGAAACTACAACTAAATCCAGAATGCGGCAGCTAGACTGGTGACTGAGAGCAGCCACCAGCACCACATAACACCTGTCCTAAAGGATCTACATTGGCTCACAGTATGTTTCTGAGACCAATTCAAAGTGTTGGTGCAGCCTTGGCCAGGAAGTTTTTGATGTTTGATGTTTTATTATGTTTTTATACTGTATGTGCTGGAAGCCGCCTAGAGTACAATTTTCCATGTATTGTTTACACAGTACATTTGTTACTGTGGCTGATACTTCTTGCACATTATTATATATAACACTCAGACCCAAATGAGACAATTTATCTATATATATTTTCTTGCGTGACAGTGTGAATCTTGAGACCTATATACAGTGCGAGGAGTGTTTCTCTGAAACATGAAGTACACTCTGAGCATTTTCTTTTCTTTCACGTTTGATGCTGTTAGATTGAAATTGGAGGATGAAGGTTTTATGGTCATATTTGCAGTGGGGTGGACTGGATGACCTTTGGGTATCCCTCCCAAGTCTTCAATTCTATGATTCTATGGGGGGTTTTTTTGGGGGGGGGTTAATCCCGATGTATATTTTGCTTTAGGAGGCTTAGTTTGGCCAGAATCGAGTATACACTTCCAGAGTTAATGCTAAATACTGGTGAATGAGCCACCAAAGCTGCTAGGGCCGTGAAAATTTGTGTCCTGGGCTTCATAAACTTGTCTACCCACGTACTGAAACCAAAGTGGCACATTGGTTGCCAGATGTGAAATATGTTGGCATTATTTTCAGCTCTCCCACCGCAATACTTACCTCTGTAAAGATTACAATATTTCAGTACTGCAGCCTTTAAAATTTGAGTAACTCCTGAATGGATGCCATTAAGCTATTTATCTCTCAGACAATTTGACAAAGGATCACCAGCCTTAGCCATCATTCAATAGGAGCATATTCTTACAACCCCAAATTTGTAATACGAGAGAGGGGAGAATTAGGGAGGGAACTCTGTTAATGAAAGCACAAAACTACTGCATTGCTATCTTCCCAAATACTCAATTTTACAACACATTACAATTTATAAATTGTGTTTTAATCTTACAAGCTTTAAAAGATGAAATCTGTGCACATAAAGCTCACACATTCCCCAGACTGTTCTGTTTTCATTCACTCATCACACATTATGCTTCTGCCATTACTGAGGAATCACTCAATTTGTGGGGTGCTGCAAAATGAAGGGTTTTGCTGCAAAATTGTTGCCACAATTTGGCACTGCTTTAGAGTAAATCACACAATGTGTTTTTTTTAAAAAAACAAGTTTTTATTAGTTTTTCAATATTCCCCCAAAAATAGCCAAATTATAACACTATCAATTCATTCCCAATTAATACAATTATTCAAATACCAATCAACTTCCAATTAATACATTTTAATTAAAGTGGCTCCCCGCATGGTGGATTGGATGCAATTCCGATCTTATATCACTGCATTCCATAATCTTATTAATTTCAGTTATAATAACAATCCCTTAATCAATGGCTGCATAATTAATGATTTCCGTTCGTGTTGTTATATAAATTTATAAAACTTCAAGTGAGGAACTCAAACCACAGTGGAACCTCGGGTTGTGGACGTAATCCTTGATGGAGGCATGTCTGCAACCCGCAGCATTCACATCCTGAAGTGGCGCGTCTGCGCAGGCGCGACTTGGGGCTTCTGTGTATGCGCGAGCGGCGAAACCCGGAAGTAACCTGTTCCGGTACTTCCAGGTTTCCCACAGTCCGCAAGCCGAAAACACATAAACTGAAGCGTCCGTAACATGTGGTATGACTGTACTATATTTGTTCTGTCCTGCGCATGAAAACTGTTATGCCCATGGAGATTCCTTCCGACCATAAATGGTGTTGTTTCTTTCACTTCCCAGCGGATGTCGTCTCCCATTGTGACTTGGGGCGGAAGTGAATCTTGAAGTTTCTCGAAGGTCTTATCTCTCCATCCTGAATCACACAATGTTGGGTTCTAGAGTAATAGCAATGACCCCCAGTTTGAATATAGTAATTGCTCTACTGGTGGGGTGCTGCAAAATGCAGCCGTTTTGCTGCAAAAGAACTGCAAAAACTTTGGCACAGGTTTAGAGGAGATTCCAAATTACGGGGTTCATAGTTCATTTGCCTCAAATGGAGAGTTTTGAGGACTGGACAGGGAGACACAGCAAACACTTTGAACAGAATGATTATATTTCAAAAGCACTAGACTGCTAAACTCTGCACACAGGCCCATAGTCCTTTCAAAACAGAGACTAGCAGTAAAGTTAAATATTCCTGTGTACTTGTTTTCATTCATTTTCATTCCCCACAAATTTCTCGTAAGCGTAGAGACTCCTCACAACAACAATACTGAAATTTCTTTTGTGGCCGGTAAATTCTGTTTCATTTCCTTTGGAACCATAATGGGCAAGAGAAGTATTCCACAGCGCCAATCCCCTTGTTGACTCAGTCCGCTTCCTTCTATTCTTTAACAGGAAGCTCTTGGACAATCAGCACATGCAGACAAACTTCTCTCCTGGTTGCTTTTTGTTCTCCCAGACGGCAGAATGGACAGAGCGGCAGGTTTCTGAGGAGTGGAAGACATGATGATAGCTTTACATTTCTTGATGTTTTTCTGGTTATCTGACTCTGTTCTTCTTCAAGGTAAGATACTTTATTGTCCAGTTCTATGCAACTCTGAGGGGAAAGTCCCAATGGTGCTTACTCCCAAGTTGTTGTGTTTATGGTTCCCACCTTAATCCTGTTCAAATGGAGGGCAAGGGTGAGTTTGTGTTTTGAATGGATAAATTTCAGTCCTTGGCATCTACAGTTAAAATCTCAGGCTGCAGGGCTGCAACAGATTTCTCTCTGCCTGAAACTCTGGGGAGCTGCTTTCAGTCAGTGTACACAATGCTGAGTAAGATGAATCTATGTTCTAATTCAATATAACACAGATTTATCAATTCATCAAGGAGCAAAGTAAAGCAGTTCTCACTCAATATTCATGCAAATCTAGTTCCTTTGGCTGAAAGAGGTGCAGATCTTTTAACAAATCTGGCTCTAAAAAACTGCACTCCTGTTGTGCAATACATATATTTCAGAGTTTAAGGATTATAGATTGACTTTAATACACAATTTCTGTAACAAAGGTGTGGTTGTTTCACCAAAAGGACAATGGTGCCTGTTTTGTTGAAGAAAAGCTGATGGAACTGCTAATTAAAACAAAAGCTGAATGAATATATGATGTGGAAAACAACACAATTCTTCATCATTTTTGGGGGGTTAAATTATACTGAGTGAACGCAGGATACATTGATGGATAAAGCGAGGATGTGCTGATGACTAAAATACAGAGGGAATTCCATGTCATTCTCTTCCAATTGTTCCAGCTATGCAAGGAGTGTGGTTTGCCAGATAGAAAGATCCCTGCTCTCCTGCCCACATGCGCTGTTCTGGGGGAGCCCCCAGAGCCAGTCTGAGCGCAGGGGCACAGAGAAGAGGAGGCAGGGAAAAGCCTCATTGCATAAGCAGAAAGTCCTTGTGGAGGGCCTACACTGTCAGAGAGCAGATGCAATGGGCAGGATTCAACAAATGAGACCCATTAGTAGAAGCCCTGCAGAAAGGCTTCCACTTGCGCAAGGCGGCTCCTGTGTGCCCCCCCCCCGCCCCCGTGGGTGCTGCAGGGACCAGAACCTAATCCCTAACCCTGGATTATTATTAACATGCTCTGATTAGTATAGAGGGAATTTTGAGGGCCTGTTTTGGCCATCTAATGTCAGTATGTAGACTTGAAGGAGATCAGTACATATGAATTGAGATGCTGAGCTTTCTGTCTGCCTGACATAAGGATAGCTTTTACTGAACTGAATTCAGATATTTAACATATTTAGCTAATGTGTGTGTGTGGGGGGGGAATAGGCATTAGCAACAAATGGGTCACTTGGAGGTAAAATTGGCCATATAGCCTTTGTTTTGGATGTCAGATAATGTAGCGAAACCAAAATGTCCCCACACAAGATATATATCCTAACTGCTCTCCTATTTTCCGATTTGCCTGTAGAGTCTGTGCCCAAGAAAAATGGAAGCTTCATCCAGCCATCCTCAGCAGGTAGACCCTCTACGATTACCCTGCTATTAAAAGGCTTTACCTTTTCAATGAGTTCCAGTAAAGCGATGAGGGAACCCTTTGTGTGATCCTGATGGAGGGCAAGGGCAAAATATCCGTGATGGCTCTTTATCCTCCCTTTCATCTCTAACACCCTACTCAGGATTACTTACAGTGGGCAGATCCTTTGGTAGGAAAATGCCAGACCATCACTTCTCATTTCAACATGCTACTATTATGCATTATAAACAAGTAGCTCTCAGCATCTTGTGGTAATGAATGTTCTTATATTACAAAACTGATGGTTACTTGATTTAGGTGAGAAAGGGAATGTAAACCTATTTTTGCTAGGTCAGATGCAGTTCCATACAGCTAAATTCATAGTGGCCAAATTTTGGATGGTCAGTGGATTTTATGCCTCGTCTTGTTCTTGTTCTGCATCGCCATTTCCTTTCTCAGAGAAGAGAGCGGTATTTTCCTAACCCTGACTGGTTCTTGGATATTTTACTGTGAATATTTATGCAGAACACATGTAAGGGTACTGAGACAGGAAAGAAGTTGGCGTGAGCACACTGGCTGTGCCCTGGGTCTCCTTTGTCCTCCATATACTAGGGGCAGCCCTGCTTGTTTGGCAGCTGAGGCAAAGGATGCTGATGCTGGACAGCAAGGAAGCTGGGGAGGAGAAGCCATGCTGTGCTGAGGCCAGTTGGGTCCTCCCACTCCAGCCAGCCACCTGCAGCACTCGAGTCCATTCATCCCATTTCATTGTTTATAGCCAATGACCATTACAGTATAAATCACAAAACATGCTATCCAATCAAAAAGGCAGTTAATCTATAATTTTTCAAGAAATCTATCATAATCTAATCTTTTTTAAAAAAAATAACAACCACCACCTTGGGAATGCAATGCTGTTTTGAGTCAGGAAAAAAAACGTCAGTAGCAAAGGTAGTAGTAGATGCAGGTCTTACCCCAATCCACTGCCTCTTCATTTGAATCCGCCTCTCAATGTCTCTATACCTTCCTATTTCTTAGTTTCCACAGGTATATATAACGGGGCCACCTCTCCCACGAAAGGTCTCCTGTACGTATATACAGATTTTCTCACTATCCCTTCCCCTACAGAAGAAAAATCAGCAGCACTAACAGTGGCAGCAACTGGTGAGTAAAGACATTAAGATGAGGTGTCACAATTTTGGACAGAAAGTAATAAGACAGATGTGTTTAAAGGGTGCCAGCATTAAATATTTTTCCAAGTATTTTAAAAATATTTCTCTCTTACGGAAATCAGTATTCTGATTATACCTCCACACTCTTGCCCCCAAAGAACACCTTATCAGTAGTAGTTTGTAGAGCTTAGCAAAAAAGAAGTCAGGATTCACGAAGCGGCATTCAACTACAAAATTGCAGTAGCACAACAGGACATCCTTCTTGCCCCACACATGCCCTGCACTGTCCCAAAAATGTCTCCAGAGGCAGGGGTGTAGTGTGGGGAGGGCCAGGGGGGCATAGCTCAGGGCACATGGTTTTCAGGGGGCGTGAGTCAGGGCCCCCCCACAGGGATTCCCGCCCTGCCTGCTGCCAGAGGTCTCTGGCTCCCAGAGCCCAGTCTTGCCACTGCGCCCCCGGCCCCCTCACCAAGGGCTCCCCCCGCACGGGTGGGCAAGCAGCGCAATGCTTCCCCGCACCTGCTTGGCGGTGGAGTGGCAGGTTTTGTTCACCCTCTGCACCTAGCCCCTGGTCCTGCCTGGTGCGTACACACACACCAGGCACTAATAAAGGATGCAGTGCTACTGTCCAGAGGGATGGGAGAACACTGTTTTGCATAGAACCCATTTGTTGTTGTTGTTGTTTAGTCGTTTAGTCGTGTCCGACTCTTCGTGACCCCATGGACCAGAGCACGCCAGGCACCTCTGTCCTCCACTACCTCCCGCAGTTTGGTCAAACTCATGCTGGTAACCTCAAAAACACTATCCAACCCATAGTATTTGTTAATTTTAATTTTGTCAGATTCCTTCTCAAATGTACTTAGAGTGCCTGTATTGCCTAATTTAACTTCCTGCAAAGTGTCCCAAGAATGTATGAACTCCTATGAACACTTACCTGGGAGTAAAGAACATAAGCATATCTAGAATAAAATTATAAATTATCTGGAGGAAGGACAGAACACAAATAGAGGAGTTGAGTACAAATGGTTGACTGCCACTTTTTTGTTCTACCCGTTCTGAAAGGACCTCAAAAGCAGTGTGGGTGAGGTGTGGTTGCATTGAAGTAATGGCCAGACTGAGATCTGCTTAGCTGCAGACACCTTAAACATTAGGTGCCCCACAAACTATTCTTTGGGTACACTGTCTCAAAGGTATATCAAGTCTTTTCAGTTATTCCATTCCACATATACACTTAAAACATGGAGAGAGCCTGATTTGCACGTTTTCAAGGGAGCCTATTTGCACACAAATGTGCATATGCAGGCTGCCCACTCAGCTAGGAAAGTACTGGGTTTTCAGACTGCAGAGAGCATGTGTGAATAGGCTGTCCTTTATAAATGTCACATTGAATGCACGGAAATTGGTGGACAGGGCTGACAGAGCAATCACTCATGAACACACAAGGCCATCCAAATCTCTGCCACGTTACCACTTTGCACAATGCTGCTGTGCTGTCCAGTACTGATAGCTCTTCCTGAAAGAACATGCACCAGCCTATTGCCACATTGCTGGCACTTTGCAGTAGTAAAGAATTTGCCACTGCAGTGCACTGGTACATTCCAGCTGTCACAGGGCTGCCAGTGAAATTTCTTCTGGGGCATTTGTTAATAGGCTTAAGAGAATTTCTGGTTATTCAATAACTCCATTTGATGTTCAGATACAGGAGATTAAAAAATATGCAGACTCTACATTTTTGAAACATTATGACTTGCTGCACTTGTCTCTGCTCCCACCTGGATTTACAGAAATTTATACCCTCCTAGACACTAGACAATCACACCAATTGTTGTATTGGGATGCTCTTGTTGGCGGTCCTTGATTGTGCTCCTGCCCATTTTTAACTACTTTGGCAAGTTTGGGTTTTAAGTAGTGGCTGGCAGCACTGTCAACCCTATTTGTTGTCACTGATTCTAACAGATGTTGAATGGAAAACTACCAATGGCTGCCATTATGGGTCTTGTTTTCCTCATTATCCAGGTGTTATCAGCTTCATTGCCATTCTGGTGGTGATTGTAATTATCCTGGTCTGTGTGGTCAGCCTAAGATTCAGGTGTCATCACTGCAAAAATGTGGAAGGTATTAAACAGTGTGCGTCATTGTTTTAATAGCCCTGAAGTGGTTATATTGTATCTGAGTCTCCATTTTATCCACTTAATATCCTCCTTGCAATTGTCTGCCATGGACTTGGTTCACTATCCACATTTCTTGACTTTGACTCTCTGCTTAGCTCTTGTTCTGTGTTCTTTCTTGGGTAAAATGCTTCTTGTCCAACCCTTCTTCTTACAAACATTTTGCTCAAGATAATTCCATAATTCCCCACTTTCCGGTTTACAGGCCGGTTGTAATCTATAGTCTCAAGCTTCCTGGGTTTTTCCCTTCCTTTCTTCACTTTTAACCTTATTCACTTCTCAGGTTCTTGATGATGCCACTTAAACACTCTTCTTTATTCACTGCCTTCACTCAATTTCCTTCAGCTTGTATACTTTATTTATGTCCCACCTTACTGCCAAGGAGCTCAAGATGACTTACATTGTGCCTCACAACACCCCTTTGAGGCAGGTTAGGCTGAGAGACTGTGACTAGCCCAATGAGCTTCATGGCAGAATGGGGATTTGAACCCAGGTCTCCCAGGCCCTGGTCCAACACTCTAAGGGCTACACTGCACTGGCTCTGCATCCATGTCGTGAAAAGCCAAGGTGTAAGCTTGCTCCACAGTTGATTCAAGTTCATGTTTGGTCCCACCTTATTATGTCCTCCCTCACTAAGCATATTTGTTTTTTAATGTGCTCTCTTTCCCATACCCCAAATGTGTGAACATTTCTTCCTGATTAAATTGTATTCTATCCACTTTCTTCTTATTCTTCTGACAGAACTTCTTCTCATTTCTGATTTTAAACCCAGTTCAACTTCTAATCACTTATAATCTATATGCTCATCTTTCAGCTTGACCACCTACTTGTTTTACTGATATAATTCCTTCTCACCCGTTATTCCATGTGTCATATTTTAACTTACCCTTGTCCTCTGGAACTTTACAATTCCAGCTAGCACCAACAGGAGCAAATAGCAGCTTTGGAGGAGCAGTTTTCATCATGACTGCTGCAGGGGAGGAAAAGGTTAAATACACCTCCTTTCCTGCCCGCTGTGATCCTTATCATTGATGCACACACCAGAGACTGCTATTTGCATTTTTTTTAACATGCACATTAATTGCAAAAATAAGCATGTTAATACATCTAGTTGGGTCCTCTGGACATTGTTTCTGCCTCTTCCAAGATATGCTTTTATTTTAATGATAAATGAGGACTAAATTAAAGGCAGTATATTATTTGTACAAATCTTTTAGTGCGTATTATTAATGGATTTTTCTCTTTGTAGATAAACAGAAACCTCAACATCCGATTGTATCTTACAGGTAAAAAAATATGTTTAAGAGTTTTTTCTTCTTACTAGTTGTTGTCAAGCTGCAGCTAGTTTTGTTTTTCAGCTACTAACTTTCAGAGTGGCTGTGATCCTTGTTGCAGTGGCGTAGCGTGGGGGTGCCAGGGGTGCCGACTGCACCGGGCGCAACATTTTGGGGGGGGCGCGAGTCCAGAGGGAAGGGACAAGCAATCGAGGCTTGGTTGGAGTGGGGGGTCGTCGTCTCCGTTTGGCCGGCCCCCCTCGAGGAAGCGGGAACCTCTCCAAGGCGCAGCGCGCCATTGGTGGAGGGAAAAGAGCCGCGCAGCAGCAGCAGCAGCGCCGGGAGGAGGAGGAGGTGGAGGCGCCGCCTGCCGCAGGATCCGATCCGAGCCTGCTAATCGCTTGCTGGGAATTAAGCGCCTCAAAGAGGCAAAGGAAGAGGTAGAGCCGCTGGCCCGGCCGGCCGGGAGGAAGCTGGAGAGAGCAGCGCGCCTGGGCGCGCGGCGAGGTTGGGTAGGTGCGCCCTGGCTGGCTACCCGCCTCCCGGGCTCAGTGCCCCCATGACCCCTCCAGCGGCGATGGGAGAGATGGGGGGGTCTGGAGCAGCTTCTCCCCCGCCTCCTTCCCATTGCCGGCGCCTTGATCTCATCCGGATCAGGGACGAAACACGCCCATCCTTCGCTACTCCTTGTCGGGTCACTGCTTCATTTCTCCAGGGAGAGAGAGAGGAGAGGAGTCAAAGGATAAGGTGAAGCTACGGTATATCCTGTTTTGCATTTATTCCCTTCACTGCAGTCCTTTTATGCTGGATTTCACTAATGCAAACCGAAAATGGGATTCACCACAGATTTACTGGAGAGGGGTCCACTTACATGCTAAAAGTCACTGAGATCCATGTGGGAATCTTTTTTCAGCTGGGCGCTGCATTCCATCTTCTGCAACGTTTCATGGACCGCATCCTAGTGGAGGGCGAGGCCAGAGGGAACAGTGTGTGGAGCAAAGGATAGGATTTTTGGCTTTGTACAGAAAGCCTGCCATCCTAACCCCCCTTATGTAGGAGATAGCCCCACTGAATTCACTCTACGTTCTATGTAGACAGGGCTAGGGTTTCACTGTGTAAGCTGCAAGCCACAACTGGTCCTAAACCAATGGATTCATGTTACAAGAAAAAAGATTCTGACTAAACATCAGAAAGAACTTTTGACAAGATCAGAGTGAAGGTTGGACTCTCCTTCAGGTTCTAACAGATTTTATGTGGATGCTGTGAGATTCCTACAGTTGGACAAGATGATCCTGAGGTTTGCCAAACTACAAAGTGCATGGGGTGCAGGGGGCAGGCCCACCGGGCACAACATCATTCCACGGGTCAACACTTGCCTTGCCCCGGTGTGACAACCCACCTACGCCAGCCTGTTGACAAACAGGTGTCAAACTTTATGTACAAAGTCTGCATGAAAGGGACAGGTCAACTGAACAGTACAGCCAAAGCTGCTGTCTGGGGCCTGCTGTCCTGAGGCTCTGGTTTCTGCTTAACCTGAGGAATGTGTGGCTGCAGAGAGGGACGGCAAAGAATAACAATCAGAAACAATCCAAAACGCAGGAACAGTTCAGAGTGGCACAGCAAGAGTAAAGTTACACATCAGATTAAACAACCCTATCACCACACAGTTACACAAGTGTCACTAGGTTCGATCAGACTGTCTCTTTAGTGAAGGTATTTAGAACTGCAGCCTTATTATTTATGGAGTGGTTTTCAAAGCCTAATCTCAGCAATAATTACAACACTGTCATAAGGGTATGCAGGTATCACTCCTATGCTACTAACTTTGATGTAACCCACAGCAGCTTGCCTAGGATGACCGTATGGAGGTTATGGCTGAGCCAAATGTTTAGGTACATTCATAGGATACAGAGGGATAAAGTGATCTGGTCTGGGGTGATGGCAACTAGTGTAGTTGCCCAGGGCAGCCACCAACAAGGCAATGCTTCTCAAATAGTCACTATAATTTCATTTAGAGATGACTTTATAGTCATGTGCTTCGAAGACAGAAAAAATGCTTGCTTCATTGCTCCCTATTGCCCTCAGCTGTTGATTATTATGACACTAAAGTAATGGAGCTATGTTTAATTATATGGTAGCACAGTTGTACCTCGGAAGTCGAACGCTTTGGCTCCCGAACGCCACAAACCCGGAAGTGAGTGTTCCGGCTTGCTAATGTTCTTTGGAAGCCGAACGTCCGACACGACTTCTGATTGGCTGCAGGAGCCGCGCCTTGGTTTATGAACGTTTTGGAAGTCGAACGGACTTCCAAATGGATTCCGTTCAACTTCTGAGGTACGACTATACTGTAAAATCACATTTCTTATTAATCAAGTGTGGGGATTGAGGAAGAAGGGTCTTGTACAATCAAAGTTTGATGATCTACCTTCCTAGCAGCAGAGAAACATCACACACAGCAATAAGAGTCTGCCTGGCTGCTTGGTTAAGTAAAAGAGAGATGGCAAGAAATGATACTAACACCAATAAAAGCACATCCTGCATAAACATTACAATATGTCCCACTACACTGAAAATCCATCTAAATCCAAAGCAATAGATTTCAGATTTGGATGAAGCTTCTTAAGTTGAAACTCCATAAATGGACAGAAGGATTAAAGTCTTTAGAACATTTACTGAGCAAAACATGCTGTGGCTTTTGTTCATAGCATTGGCAGAATGAAAGTATAGAACAAGCTACACATCAGTGCTTCCTAATCCACTGAGATGTCTAGCTCTTCAGTGTTAGTCACCTGCAAGGAAAAACACATTTTCTCATGAAGTAGCCAGATAAAGTAACATTGGATGCATCCTCTATTTTTGGGCAGCTGCTCTGATGCTGAAGCTGCAGTTGGCAAGAAAAATGTCATGCTGGTCTCCATGAAAGACTTAAACATAAGCAACAGCCAAGGTAAGGTGTAAGGGCTGGGGAAACCCAAAGGTTTTCTATTTGATAAGCAAGTCTTAGTGGGAGTGACTAATTAGAACCCCACTATTTATAAAAGCAAAAAAGTATTGTAAGTGACTATTCCCCAGGGATAAGACACAATTATTTGCTGTGACTCTTAGATTATTTTGGGGATTATACTTTATGATGATAACTGACTTAAAGAATTATAGCAAGGCATTAGATTCCTATTAAACCTGTCCCAAGACGTCTGCGCATATGGCCACACAAGTGCGTGCCTTGAACCTTGTAGCTTATGTTTTTCTAGCAAGCTATTTCTCATTTACATAGTACCTAGAATTTACTAAGCATTGTACACATTAAATGAAGACAATACCTGTACTGTATAGAGATTTACAATGTAAAAGACATGATGCAAAAGACTTAACTCCCTGTGAGTTCAGATTCAAGAAGACTATACATGGTCTTCTTGACCAAGACTATACATGATTCCCTTTAGACAATTGTCCCGTACAGACAGCAGAAGGGTTGTACTTTAGATAAAGTTGTTTTTGGGGGGGAGAGAGGGGTAATTACTTTGTTTAAACACTGATCTAGGCACAGAACCCAAAGAGTAAGGTTTATTTTACATTCTGTACCTAGAGCTCTGAGGCCTTCTAATTTTGCCATGTTGGTTTTTCCAGGTGCTGCAAAATGTATTACACATGAAAATTGAAGAAACATTTTTAAAAGGTGTAACTTTATTTTTAATCAATGTGGGGGAATGCTGTAAGGTATTTGTTATTCTCTTTGGGATATAAACACATGAAGCCGCTTTGTAAATCAGACCAATGATTAATCTAACCTAATATTGTATACTCTTGACTTATGATGACTCTCCAACGTATCTGATCCTTTAAATGCAAATACTGGGTATTTTACCTGGAACTGTTGTCTCCTAAATGCAAAACATGCACTGTACTATTGAGGTATGGTCCTTCCCAGCTGTGGTTTTCAACTGGCCAAGAAACCTCTATTTTTTCTTTGAAAAGTACTCATATTGATGGGGGGGGGGGAGAATAACCAGTCACTGTTGCCTTACTCTTAAGTTCATTTCATTGTGGTCGTTGTTAATTTGGCATATTTTAATTTCAATGGAGCACACAAAATATATTTCTCAGGAGAAGGAAGGAGGGTGCAGGCAGCCACCTTTTCATGCACAAGCAACTTCTCATTTGCTTACCTGTGCTGGAGGCCGTGTCCTTGCATCCCCAGCTGCAGAAGTGAGCTTGAAGTTCCTGGCAGATGCTTGTGTTTGAAATCCTGGGCAGAGAATCTGAAAGGGGAATCTGAAAAGATAAACATCACCTATCTGCCCTTTATTATTTGTGTTTATCTTGGCTGTTGAGTTGCCTTTTTATGCAGAGCTCCCCATCATCAAAGTCCCCTCTTGAGTATTCTTGAATTGGTGGCAAAGTGATGTCTTAATGTCTGAGAGCAAAGTTCCCTGGCTAGGTTTTTTATACTCCTGGTCATGCATTTCTAACAGTTGCAAAGAATCCTGTCTTCAAATGCAGCTGGAGAAGGGTTTGGAGGGAGGGGGATCTTCATTAACTTTCTTTCCAAAGGTAACATTACACCATAGTTGTGGGCAGGACCAACCCTCTGAGTGAGCATCGCATCCTGTCTAGCTTCCTTTCCTCCACTGAGCTAGAAGGCTTGTATTAGATGCAGAAATATACTGCTCCACCAGCAGAGTGCTGTGCTCAACCAGCACACAGAGATGTGACAACTACAGCAGGCATGAGATGGGCTCACACTGTTTCTAGGATTATAAATTAATTCAGGTATTATAGCAATTACATTATTTGCTTCTGAACTGCTGCCTCTGCTGCAGTTGCAGTTCAACAACCTAATCATAACAGCTAACATTTTTCACAGCTGTTATTTGTTAGCGATTTTTGCACAATGTTTTCCCCATGGGTAGCTGTCCAAACACATAAAAACAAAAACTGCATGAACCCTCCCTCATGTATAACACACCAACTTCCCACCACCATCTACCACGGCAGCAATGAAACACAAAACAGAGCATGAGTCTTTTGTGATTACTAATGTATTCCATCTTTCAACAAGAAAGGCATGATCTTAATATTATTTAACAATATGTTAAAAAATCAGCCAATAGGCTTCAGCGTTAATACAGTTATACAGTTTTACTGATTTGATATGCAAGTACTCATTTGCTAAACTTCCTCTTGCAAGTATTTTTACACAAGCTGGCTACAAATTGGGAATCAAAACACAAATTGCTTAACTTGTACATTCTCAACAGTAGATTGTGAAAAACAAAAGTAAATGCTTGTCCCAAAAGAGGAATTTTCTCTATGGCAATTTCTTTAAAGAAGTCTATAAGGAAAGAGCAAAACTAGTTGGATTCATTGCTCTGTTTAAAGGACAAGTCATAGCAAAATGGGAAAAGCCAAGGTATCTCCAGAAACTGGAAACATGCTGTTGTTCCAATTCCAGCAACTGCAGACTATAGTCAGATAAGTCTCATTCACAGACTTCAATCACAGAAACTAACATATGTAGTTAGAAAGCAGCAATTCTGCAGCCTTCTAGCATAACCAGGGGAAAGGCTGGATGACCAGTGAAGATCCACACAGCACTGCTAATGAAGGTATTTGTCTCAAGGCCACAGCAGTTCTCAGCACAGGGAGTACAGTTAGTAATTAGATCCCACAACATTCATATCCATGTTGTGTCCTTTAGTGGACAGCAAAGGTAGCTTTCTTCAAGCTAAAGTTGGACCAATTGATGGAAAGTCTTTGCCTTGTCTGTCTGGCAGAATCCAAGCAGAATCTGTAAAGAAAATATGCGTAAAGGAAATCTAATACACACCAAGGAAGTATATATCATCATATCTACATTACAATTTCCTTTGATAATTATTAGATTTCTAATTACTAGCTATATAAAATGTAACTTGTTAATACTTGAGTAGAGTGGCTTAAACTTCAGCTAAAAGACACCCACCCATTAACACCCACCCTAGGGTGGAAGAAGGCTGAATGATTTAACATGATAACTAATGTTGTATTTTATATATATATATATAGTAAAGACTTCTTTTAAAGTCAAAATTGCTATTCACAGTGGGGTAAGGTTTACAGATACCTTTGTCTGCATTTTGCAATGAGCAAATGTGGCAAGTCAGTAAGCAGAACCAATGCTTCTGGCCCCTCAGCTCTGGCTCATTTCAAATAACAGCTGCTATTAAAATGTGTTGCTGACTGAGACCTAGAGGCTATGAACCAACATTTAATCTCATTTGATTGTGCTAAAACAGGGATGGGGAACTTGTGGCCCTCCAGATGTTGCTGCACTTCAGCTCCAATCAGCCCCTGCAAGCAAAGCAAGTGGGAGTTGAACTCCAGCCACATGTGGAGAGGCACAGGTTCCCAAGAGTGGCACTAACGTGAAAATGATGACCCCCCCCCCATATTGGAATATGATCTCAGTTCTACAGCTGACTTCATTAATCCTGCTAACACTGCCTGATGCCCAGTGATCATTTTAAAGTCTTTGGAACCTAAACATTGGTGCAACTATGCATGCATTTTTATATATGGAGCAGAGCTCAATGCCTCAGTCCCAATGATTAAGCTTACAATGTTCTTTTAGATGCAGTACTATTTGGGTACAACTTCAAATCCCTATTCTGCTTTCTGCTTGGACAAATCATGCTTTCAGTATACCTACCTCATAAATGTGTTGTGAAAAAAACATATATCAAGAAGGTGCATGGTGTTACACATGTGGGATAAACATGTTTGTATTTTTCGTTCAGCCAGATTTAGTATAACAGAAATGGAAAGACTGAACAATACAGCAGTGGGCAGCCACCCTCTCATCTGCTGTAATATATAAAAGTAGTTACTAGGGTAGGTTTCTGCTTTGTGAGTTTTAGTTGGTCCATTCTCTGTTTCTGCAGAGGTGTTGTATAACAGTGCAGAGAACTGAAGTTATGGGCTACTTGTGAATAAAGTGTGCTTTGTAGTTAAAAAGCAAATTATTCACATGTACTAAATGGAGCTGAACCCATAAGCCTTTCACAGAAAGTAAGAAGGGGAGCATTTTTATTTTATGAGTCCTTCTAGCTGCTTAGAAAAGAAGGCTGCTACACTGGAAACTTGTGCAGAGTTTCATCAGTGGCAGCAAATCTGGGAAGACTCCTAAGAGATACTGACCCACTTTTTAAAATAAAAAAATGCTACTAAATGCTACTAACAAAATAACAGATGAAAATAAAAAGAAAGCACTCAGCAATGGTGGATATGTATTATAATGAGAAGTCTTAATCTGTTGAAAGTCAGAAGGGAAAACTTTCAATATGTTGAACAATATTTGTAGCCTAATTCTAAGTGAATTAGTAGAATAATCTAAATTGAAATAAGGTCTGAGACGACTATAACAGCTTGTGGCATCTCAGATGTTAAAAAAGAGACACTGTGCTTTTTTTAAAAAAAAAAGTGGGGATTTTGATGTCAGTCTGTATCTATTTTGGCCTTCAACTTGATTTCTATATATGTTTTTATTGTTAAATCGATTGAGGATGTTTCATGGAAAGTGATTCATAAATAAAATAAAAGAAATGAATAATAAAATTGATTTCAAACTCTTTACTGGTCAAGCATTTAATGTCTGTTTTTGTATGGGAAGCAAGTGTCTATTTATATATTAGAAGGCTGTGTTGATAGATAAGAGAGTAAATGCATGCATGTATTCATGTACCCATGTGTGGGTGGCTGAGAGGTGGTGGGGGCTGGACGGTGAAGAGATGGGCCTCATGGATGCATGAATAAGAGGAATGGCTACACTGATGGATGGAGTATGACATGGAATCATAGAACTGCAGAGTTGAAAGGCACCCAAGGGTCATCTAGTCCAACCCCCTACAATGCAAGGATCCTGCCCCCTGCTGTCTCTGGGTGGGTATTACCAAAATGATGTTTTGTACACCACATTCACCCACTGACCTAGAACCTCTGAAAGGAGGAGGCTAGTGTTTCCCCTGTTGCAAGAATATGAAATAGTCTTACAGCATCTTGCAAGTTTGGGCAGAGAAAAACGTTGAGCCTTCCCAAGATTTATGATGAGAACGCCTCAGGTGAAACTGTAAGGCACAGATCTCAGGCTTGCAGGATCTACTGTGTTTTAAGTACAGTGGTACCTTGGTTTTCGAACAGCTTAGTTCCGGAACAATTCAGAACCCGAACGCTGCAAACCCGGAAGTAGGTGTTCCGGTTTTCGAACTTTGCCCCAGAAGCCAAATGTGCTCCTGAGCTTCCATTTTTACTGTTGCACAGAAAATATCAGTCCCCTGCATAGTAATTAAGCCTTTTTTCTTCTCATGTCTGCCCTTGCGCCACTCATTTGGGTGTGTCCCCCATTGCAATTAAAGCCTTCCGTTTATGATTACAGTGTTCTGAGGTGATATTTGGTGCTTTTGTTTTTGCTATTTTTGGTGTTTTTGTGGCTTTTTCATTTTTGTGACTGTGGCTTGTTTTTCGTTTTATGATTGATTGATTGTGTAATTGCGGAAATGGATAAAAGCCCCCCATCCAAACAATGACTATCATGTGCAGGTAAGGAAAAGAATTTTAATATTTATCATCTACACTACTGTCTTATTTATTTTACAGTATAGAACATTGATTACTGCTTTCATTTTATGGATCAATGGTCTTGTTAGATAGTAAAATTCATGTTAACTTTCTGTTTTAGGGGTTGTTTTTAAAAGTCTAGAACGGATCAATCTGTTTTGCATTACTTTCTATGGGAAAGTGTGCCTTGGTTTTGGAACGCTTTGGTTTTAGAACAGACTTCCAGAATGGATTAAGTTTGAGAACCAAGGTACCACTGTACTACAACCCCAAGAGTCACCAACTGGTACAAAACAGTATGTGTTCACTTGCCTAAGCTGCTAAGAATCAACATGGAGACTTCAGCCTGCAAGTTCTGCCCAGAATTTGTTATCAGTGCCACAATAAAGGCCACAAGTTATTTTATGGAAACAATCCACTCCTGTTCCCACCCACCAAGGCATTATTTCCCAGCAAACCTCTTTTTTTTCTTTTGCAAGGTGAAGGGAGCTTCTTAGTTGCTGCTATTTTAGACATTTGAGAATCACAAAGCTTAGCTGATCTACTTCAAACGGCCCAGAGATCTAGCTGAAGTTCTTAACCTACCTTCTGTTATAAGGATGCTTGTCCTTTTTTTAAGGCAAGTAAACACAACTTGTGATCCAGGCCCCCAGAAGCTCAATCTACCACTTCCCTTTGTTGCCTGTCTAGCACACTTCTTAGTTGATCTCAGTATCAATGCCCTGAATACTCTGTTCCACCAGTAGAGAGTGTTGCCTGGGCACAACCATACCTCAACAGAATGCAACCCTAGATGCTATTTAGCTATGCCTGAAACCAGTTGCGAGTTTTTATTTGGGCCATAATAGCAACAAGACAGACATATGGCGCTTACTTACCTTTTAAAATGTTCAACTTCCCGCTCAGTTTCATCCATTTCCACACTGTCTAGGTCAACATCTTTGGGCAAAAACACATCATCTGCAAAAAACACATTGTAAAAACAAGATTATTTTCAATTACCTCTTTTCCCAAGGAAACAAATGGAAACATGCAACCTGAAGTAATTAAGCCTTTTAATCTGGTATAGGATATTTAAGAACTTTGGTCTTTAGAACTTAGCCACATTCTTAAGTTTAAGTTGGGGACTTCTGTAATGTGACCAGTGACCACTGAAAGAGGGCCAGCAAGAGGCACCCTAAGGCAGAGGTGGGGAGCCACCAACCTATTAGGTAACTCTGGTGTGCGGAGTCTTCCATTTTGCCAGGTATTCTCCTCCACAGCAGGAATCTTCTGTTAGGGCCAACAGAAAACTATTGGTTCTTAACCTACCTTCAAATGCAACTGTTGTGCTGGAGGGGAAGGCTGACTCCTCTTTCCTCATGTGCTACAATTTTCCCACCAAAAATCACCCCACCCCCGGGTGACAAATAAGCTTGAAAACAGCTTTCTATTAATGTCAATGGAAGGCTGTTTTCAAGAATGGGGTGAGTGGGAATCTGCATGAAGATCGCACCTGGAGAGAGAAATTACCTTTCCCTTGCCCCAGCTGCAATCTCCATGAAAATCACAGCCCCACCCACCAGCATTTAGGGCGAGGAAAAGAAATTCTCACATGCTTTTTTCAAGCTTAGTTGCTGAATGGAGTATGACTGAGAGAGGAGGGAAGCCAGATTCTTTTTTAAAAGTTGGTGCCTATGCACTGGGGGTGTGCTTGTGTGTTGCACAAGATATAATTTCATAAAAAGACTGCTGTACACCTATGACACTGCCTTGTAATGAGTCAGACCATCAGGTCCATCTAGCTTAGTATTGCCTGCACTGACTGGCTGAGGATCCTTGTGGTGTGAGAGAGAGGCCTTTCTCAGCCCCACCTGGAGAGGACAGGGGTTGAAGCAGGGATCTTTCCCATGCAAATCATGTACTCTACCCCTGAGCTACAACACTTCTCAACTAAGCACAGAAGGTGACTTCTCAGTTTCAGTATTATTTCAGATAGTCCTCAATGTGACCAGAGATGTTTTGGAAGCATTAAACTATTTAAAATACACAACTAGCTAATGAAATAGAGGCTTACCAATTGAGGAGTTCCCTTTGTCACTTTTCTTTTTCTTATTTTTCTTGCTCTTGCCTTTTGGCTGTGGAGATTCTTGTAGTAGAAGCTTATTATGCAGCTGTTCATTTGGAAATAAGGAGCCTCTCACAAAAGGTGACTTTGTCACAGGATTAATTTGCTTTGCTTTATTTGTGCTTACTTTTTTCTCCTCTTTTTTGGAGACAGCAAGTGACTGAAGTTCTGCCACTTTTATTTTAGAATTTATTTTGTTTTTTATTTTAGGTGGAGTCTGTATATCAGTTGCTTTGGAAGACTTTTTCAGTCGTTGAGAAAACAGATCATTTATTTGTGTTATCTGCTCTTTGTTGTTATCTTCTGTGTGGTGATGCATTATGTTAAGAAGCAAAGAAAGGGGTTCATGTGATTTCACAGTCATCTCTGTATTGAAAAGCAATTTTGAGTCTCTACCATTTATTGGCTTGGATGGGTCAAAGCACTTTTCATAAACTTGCCCCTGTTCAACATGATCTGCATGTTTAGACAGTGATTCAGATGATGTTTCTATTTCATCAAGGAATTCATTCTGAATGTTTTCTGGGATGTCAGGGGAAGGCTTCATCCTTACTTGACAATTCTGAGTATGCACCTGTACTTGTTGGCAGTTTGTGCTGGTCCTCTCTTTCTTCTTTTTCTTAATGTCTTGTAACTCTTGTAGTTGTTGTGCCCCTCTATCTTCTTGCTGTTGCTGTTCTAGCAGCTGATGATGTTCCTTTTCTCTAGCTTTGGTTTCAGTGTGGGCCTTTTCTTTTAACTGGGAAGACAACAGTTTACCTTTCTTACAATGGCATGAAGATTCCAAAAACGTAAGTTGATGTAGGGCTGGATTCAACTAACTGATCACACCAGTAGAAGCCCATGCAAGGACTTCAACTAGTGCAAGGGGACCTTCTCCCCCTCCCCTTCCCCCAATTGTCTCTGGTTGGGTGGGAAAGCCCTCAAAGCAGCAAATGGAGCAAACATTTTCCATCAGGAAATCTGCTTAGCGCTGTATTTAATTCTTCCTGGAGATACAGAAATATAGTTTTGATATAGCTCATATAGCACACACTGGCTGCAATTCAACTAAATTTTACTGAGAGTAGAACCACTGACATTAATGGACCTAACTTAGTTATGTTCATTAATTTCAATTAGTCTACTCAGATATTCCTGCCCACCTAGCAGTTCGAAAGCACATCAAAGTGCAAATAGATAAATAGGTACTGCTCCGGTGGGAAGGTACACAGCATTTCCGTGTGCTGCTCTGGTTCGCGAGAAGCGGCTTAGTCATGCTGGCCACATGACCCAGAAGCTGTACACTGGCTCCCTTGGCCTATAGAGCGAGATGAGCGCGCAACCCCAGAGTTGTCCGTGACTGGACTTTACGGTCAGGGGTACCTTTACCTTTACTTAGATATTAAAGCATTTGAACGCATTTAAACAACAACAGTTTAAACAATCTACTAATAAAAACAAAAACAAAAGTAACAACGCAACAAAAGTTAAAAACTTAACACCCAAAAGTCATCTCTGAAAATAAATTTGTGAAACATTTTAAAAATAGTATTATCCCCACTGAAACACCTTGAGTAGCTCATTTTCATGCCTTTCAATAAATGGCTACCTCAAATACAAGTCTAGGCTTACCTTTTTTTGCTTATGCCTTGCTCTTTTGGCTGTCCGTGAGCTGCTTACTGGCTTAGTCTCAGGGCTGTTTATAAACTGCAGCAAGTCCTCTACTTTTCGATGATCAACAACACTTTCCCTATCTTGTATCAGCTCTGGTTGCCTGGGTTGTCCCTCTTTCTTCTTTGTTAAACGTAAGCGAAGTTTTTCTCTCATTTCAGCATAATTCCTACTAGTTGGTGCTGCTGGTGGCTAACAGAAAATTTATAAACTCATAATAAATACTGAAAAATCACTTGAATTTTAGCATTCAAAAACAAAGGCAGTTAAAAAGATGTCCACACAGAAGAACTTTGCAAAACACAAATAATCAGGCTTAAGAGGCAACATGGGCAGAGCTGCACAACTCCTTCCAGGCCCTTGAGGGCAACCCAGCGTAGCTGGACTACCCAGGTTAGGAGCTCTAATCAGCACAGGTGGCAGCTGTAGAGACATCCAGCCCTGCCTGGCTGAGGCAGGTACAAATGGGGCCGGGCGACACAGTCGAGGAGGACCAAACGCTGCTGAGGCTTCCTATGGCTGAATTTGGTGCTAAATCTGGGTGAAGGTCTGGTGGGGAAATTGTTTATTTGGAATTGGGATTATTTCTTGGTGTAAAAGGGTTTTTAATATTTCCCCTCATATATTGTCTATCAAAGATCCTTTAAAAACCTGCAGTGGTAATTGGCAAAACACTACCCCGACAAGCCTGATCATTCAGGGCTCTCAACTTTGTGAGGAGCATTCACAGATAAGCAAGGCTTCTCAACTACGTAAGTTTATTTTACTCATACAAGGGGCTGGAAGAAATTGTGTGCCCTGCAGGCTTCCTCTACTCATGTTGCCTCTGAAGGTGATCATTCATGCCTGAAGAGGACTCTAGCATAATAATCACAAGTGTTGTAAGAAAATACTTCAGGCCAGACATTAAGCTCCATGTAAATTTACATATGCTAAGATTCAATTGTTGGAACGTCAAAATGTATGTAACAGAAATTTATGCTGCCCTAGTAATGCATTTCGGGACGCGGGTGGCGCTGTGGGTAAAAGCCTCAGCGCCTAGGGCTTGCCGATCGAAAGGTCAGCGGTTCGAATCCCCGTGGCAGGGTGCGCTCCCGTTGTTCGGTCCCAGCGCCTGCCAACCTAGCAGTTCGAAAGCACTCCTGGGTGCAAGTAGATAAATAACTAAACATATAATTCAAACATGTATTTACAACTACAGTTGAACCTTGGAAGTTGAACGGAATCCATTCCAGAAGTCCGTTCGACTTCCAAAATGATCAGAAACGAAAGCACGGCTTCTGATTTGCTGCAGGACTGGAACAGCCACTTCTGGGTTTGCAGTGTTTGGGAGCCAAAATGTTTGAGAACTAAGGTACTCCTGTAATTTTCAAAACTTTAAATTTAAAGTTATGTCTTTGTTGTATTTCTAATTTTGAATTTAAACATAAAAATAGCTACCTATAAAACAGATATAACTGCATATATTTGGGAAGCGGCAGTAGCTAAGTCAGTCAGAGTACATGCAGATGGGCCCAGGTTCAATCTCTGGTATTGTCCGGGAGTAAGTGACAGGGACACCTGGGCAGGAACCCTAGAAAACCACTGTCATTCAGAATAGATAATACTGAACGAGATAGACAAAGTCTGATTGGCTGCAAGGCAGCTTCCTATATGCCAAACACAGTGTCAGTTGGTGGTAGTATACTTCCTATAGCAGATTCATTAGTAAAATATTTCACAACACAGGACTGTAAATGCATACTGGGAGACAGAAGGACAAGTACCTGTTTTTCTCCTTCATTCCCTCACTGCAGCTACCTGAACAGCAACACACTGGTCTATCAGTGCTATCACAGCATAATGAATCCCCTGTCCAACTTGAGTGGAGCAGTAGACCTGTTTCCTGAGCACTGGGAAAAGAGTAGCACTAGGGTATGAGTGCTCCCTCAGTCTCGCTCCCTGGCAGGTCACAATTACAAGGCATCTGCCATTGTTAAAATCCTTTTAATGTCTGGAGATGTAGACTTGATGCAACAAATAAGTCTGCTGCAGAAGCCACTGGGCACAGGCACACTGCTCTCTGCACAAAAATGCCTAGCCTGGCCCAAAGAGATTCAATGTGTCTTTAAGTTAATTTAACACGGCTCACAATAGGTCCTGAAGCTTTCAAAATGATTGCAAGAACATGTAAGAACTTTTTCAGTTGGAGGAGCTTATTCCACTGAAGGTGGGCAGTGATCCCTGCCCCTTTCCCTGATCCAAGGTTGGGTTTCTACTTTCTGGCTTGGGATGGTTTGGCCACTGCATGCCCAAGGGACCTGAAGCGCATTGAGACCACAGCCAAACCAGTAAGCTGCTCACCCATCTATTCCTCTCCAGTGAATGAGAGCGACTCGGGGGTGGGAACACTGCAAAAAGAGACACGGGTGGCCTTTTTCGCTTGCCGCTCTGCAGAGGGGCTCAGTGCCCTTTTGCCAAATATCAGTTGAAGCCAGAAGGCTCCCTGCCTGCCTTTCTGAAGAAGAAAGGCTGTGTGTGCATGTGGACTTCCTTTGCTGTTGGTTGGAGGTGCCCGACTCCAAGTTAAAAGTGAACAAAACAAGGCCAGCCAAATATTGTAGAACTCTGTACGAAGTATTCTAAATAATTAAATGTTTTTCAGCAAGCATATGCATGTACATCTACAGAGATGTAGATTTTAAGTCCCCCTCCCACCCCAGAGCCTCATTTCCTCTCTTCACCATCAGAGAATCATTAAGCTAAGCTAAGGAATAGGAAAGGACCAACATGCCACGTCAAGTCTTTTGATGCAGATAAAACCCATCCATTTATCCATCAGACTTTGGAACACAGGAAGACGTCTTATACCCAGTCAGACCACTGGCCCATCTAGCTCAGTACTGTCTACACTGACTGGCAGTGGCTCTTCAGGGTTGGAGACAGGAGCTTGTCCTAGTCCTCTCTGGAGAAACCAGGAATTCAGACTCAGACCTTCTGCTCAGAAGCAGTGAGTCTCTCCCCCTGCTGTTGACTCTCCACAATGCCTGACATGAAGTGGGAATTACTGTATTTTTCCGTGTATAAGACTGTATTTCCCCCCAAAATTTTTAAAGTTTAAAATTGGGGGTCGTCTTATACACGGAATGTTGCAATTATTTATTTCTGAATTTTGGGCTCAAAAAATAGGGGTCATCTTATACACGGAAAAATATGGTAGTTAATTAAGTCTGGCAACAGCAGTTAATTCAGTACGTTTTACAAAGCCAAAACAACAGTAGAGTGAAATACAAGTGGCAGCACCTAAAAATAAAATCTGTGGTGGATTACTTACTCCTCCATGACCAAAGAATTCACAGTAGCAACAGTCACAGTATTTTCCTTCTTTTTGGTTTGTGGATGTTGAGGTACTAGAGCTATGCTCTGAGCAGCTATCTTCATCTTGGCTCTCCTCACCATCATACTGTTGATGGTTATATACACGGCTGTTCTCACAATGATGGCCTTCACAGTCAGGATCACTACAATAAAGCAGAAAACTGATATTTTAATCCAGTTTCTTAAATCAGTCTAGAAAGCAACAGGAAAACAATCAACCAAGTATAACACTACATGCATATGATGAGGTGGGTCCTATTCTATACACTGGTGCCAACTCTAGGGGGCTCTGGGTGCCAGGGCACCCACAATTTTTTGAGGGTGCTGAGCACCCCCATCGCGCAGCTCTGATGCAACTTCCGGTTTCTACCAGAAGTTGTGTTGGAGGCCTGTAGCGACCTCTGAAGTGATGTACAAGACCCCGTGAAGCCTTGGAAGCGACTAATAAAGTCCCTGATAAGGAGAATTGGCAATTAAAAATGATAGAATATTCAGAGTTAGCAGGTCTAACAAGTAAAATAAGAGAGCAAGAAGATCTAGCATACAAAGAGTTGTTGAATTTTTGTGTGGAGAATTTGGAAAATAACTGTAAACAAGTGAAAATGCTAGGAGGATTAAGGTAAATTCAACAGTATAATATATAATAAAGGAAGAATAAGGAGAGGAAGTGAACTAGATGGATATATAAGAATATGCAGGAATGGTGGGAAGAATAAAAGGAACCAGGGAAGGGGAAGAAGAGAAGTCATTTAATGTTTTTATTAAAAGAAAGATATTAACAGTGGAAATGTATATTTGAATGTGATTTTGCCAAAGTAATAATGAAAATTATAAATAAAATAATAAAAAAAGAAAAGAAACCGGAAGTCGTGAGGCCCTGTGAGGTCTCAGAAGCAACATCTAAGGCTCTGCCAGGTCTCTGAACACGACTTCCAGTATAAACCGGAGGTTGTGTCAGAGATCTCACAAGGCCTCGTGTGACCTTCAAGGCCCTGCAAGCACAGCTGTGGCGTCGGAGTCATAACATGACGTCATGATGTCACATTATACTGCGGGTGCCATTGGGCACCCATAATCTGGGACCCAAGTCGGCAGCCCTGATTTCACAATACCTTTTGTTACAATATGTCTATAAATGCTTGACCCCAGAGAGACACACTGCTCTCTCTTTGTTCCCAAGTTGTACTGCTGCTTTCCACCAGTCCCAAATCCCTTCCCTGAACTGTGTGTCTTGCATCCTGAAATCATGGTCCTTTCTCTCACATTCCATCAACGTGCAAGTGAAAGGATAAGCAAATAATCTCCTTCTCCTCAAACCCTATTTGTACAGTGCCCTTCATTCAAAGATCACAGGGCGGATCACAACAGAAAAATACAAAACGAAGACCAACCGGTCAGTAGTCACTTAATTTTCCGAATCCAGGGAGGGTTTCTTGAGGAATGGTTTCACCACTGCAGGCAGGGGCTACCTCCTCTTGCAGGGAGGCATTACTCACCTCCCTGGCCTACCCAGCTGTCCCCTCCCTGCTAGTTTTTATCAGGCAGGAGGGGCAATGGTCCAGAGCATGAACCACTTGTCCACATTCTTCAGTCTTACTAACTGAAACTCATCCGGCACAAGACCAGACAGTGCCCTGGACAGCCTTTGAGATTCGTTGTAACAGCATAGTCAAGGTCATAGTGGATACAAGGGGTTTTATCCTCCAAATACTTTGTAAACAAGTTACAGCAAGCTGCCCTCAGTTCTGCCACCTCCTTTGGGTCAGACTGTAAGTGGCCCTGCACTAGCCAGAAAAGCTCCGCCAGATGGCACAATGAGGATGCAATGGAGGAAACCAAGTCTGCCTTCTTTGCTGCCTTCTCTGCCACTAGGTTAGCTCAGTGATTAGCCCTCACCAGCGTTAGATTGCATTCAATCAGATCTTTCCTCCACACATGTTCAAGCTGCTTCCCAGCTTGTTTCCTTGTTCTATGCTCTGGAATATACCAAAGAATCAAGTGGGAGAGGGTGCTCAGAGATAATCGTATCAATGGCCTGAGCCATTTGTATGTTCCAGGGGTCAACCACGGCACCAATCATATCAGCTGGAAAAACCCCCGAACTGTATGGAAACCCAATGGATCCATCATCCCTCAAGGTCAGAGCATCCTAATAGGTCCCTCTGCCTCTGCAGAGAAAAGGTGCTGAAAGCTAAATCTCAACAGAAAGTGATCTCACCATGGCAAGGGATTGATGTCAATATCGCCCACTTTCATATCACCCTCTTCCTGCCCCGTTGAGAATACAAGTTCCAGAGTGCGGCCTGCCATGTGTTGGGCCAGTGACATGTTGGGCCAGTCCCACTGTCATCATGGCAGCCATGTAGTCCTGAGCCACCCCACAGCTAGTCGCCTCAGCATGGATGCTGATGTCTCTCAGAACCAGCCGTCTGGGAGTCATCCACACCACCTCTGAGACCAGGTCTGTCAGCTCAGTGAGGTGGGCAGTAACCCAGCAGAACCCTTATCTATCTGAACTGTCCAGTGTCAGGAACGGTACTGCAACTATTCCCATTTTGTCCAAGTCAAAGCTGAACTGCACAGCAGTGGCACCAACTGACCTCACTATCCCTCCTTCTCCCACCCACCCCACTTTCTGTGAAAGCCTCATAATTGCTGTTTAAGTAGTTTCAATTTTTCTAAAGAAGTTTATTTGTGGACTCGTTTCTATTTCTCCCTGAGTACCTTACAAGGGCACATCACTTCCCCAGACTAAATATTCTAAATGTTACCCATGCCACTGGATCCTTGGAATTCTTTTTGTATGTTAGCAGGACCAAACTCCACCAGACTGACATCAGTCTGGAATATGACCAGGGATGCATTGAGAACAGTATTCCCCTATTTGAGCAAATTCCTCTAAGCATTCATGTTCACAAGAGCTTATTCCCTGAAATAGCCTGCAGATGTGTTTACACACATTTCCTGAGTAAGCTTGCTAACAGCTGGAAGGCAAGTCTTTTGTACCCAACAGCAGATACGGCGTGAAGAATGCAGAGTCCATTAGGGACTCAGACATTCGTACCCAGATATTAGGGATATACCTCAAGATAAAGAAAAAGGGAATGCAAATGGACAGAAAAATAATAATAATACGGATTTCAACCACTTTTTGGGTGCAACACTACTACATATTTTGGCTGGTCTTATTAATTTTACATGAGTTTTAGCAATGTTGGAATGGGTTTATTTGATTAGGGTTCTGTATTTTTAGCTACCGTGATGCTTTTCTAAGAAAAATTGTGGGATAAAAATATAAAGAACATAAGGAATGAATCAATATATAGATCAGCAATTCCATACCATAGCAGCAGCTCTGACACATTTATCTTGCTTTTTAATTAAGGCAAAGAACAAATGTTATATGGTTACTTGTACTAACACTGTGGCTTTAACTGATTTGAGAATCATAGGATGATGTTGTTATTAAATTATAATTAACAATAATAACAATGAATTAATGGCTTCCGTTTCCATTCTGCGCCAGGAATAGATCCTTCCTCAACATCATGGGAGTCGCAGATGAAGATGAAAGAGAATGGTGGGGGTTAAACTGTTCTCTGCATTCCTCTCAGGGTTTGGGAGGAACGGGCTTTTTTCACCTGCAGTTTGCCCTGTGGTCTGGCACTCACTTCCCCAGGCAATGCGAAGGCAGGCAAAGGCACTGGGTGCAGGAGCACTCCATCTGTCGATGTTAGAGAAGTAAGACATAAATGCTAACTGAGAATTAACCTTGCCTTCAGCTTTTATATAACAAAGCTTGCTTGGCATAAGAACAGTCATAATGTATTTCTAAAATCCATTTTACTCTTCTGAGTGACCCTGTTAGTTTCACAACATTAAGCAAGTTTTTATTTAAAAATAGATGACAGTTGAAACTGTTTCTTTAGCAAGCTTCACTAGCAAGAAACCACAAGACTTGTTTTTGCCAATTTTGAAGAAGGTACCCTTTGCAAGCAACAAATGTTTCCTCTTGGTCAACCCTCTTGATGATTGCAGCTTGTTTTGCAGACCCTTTAAAAATTTGCTTTGCTGTTTGCTCAATTGTCAGTCTCTCCTTGTGGTGTGAACCAGAGAGGACTGGCTATTTCAGCTGAAATAAATTAGGTGTTGTACCTATCCGTTTTGTCCTGACTCCTCTTTCCTGGTAGAGATTTTGGCTGCTCATCCAAGGAAGAACCTCAGCTGCAAGTTTTCTGCAACACCGAAACCCCCTGACTCCATTCCTGGAAGCAGAGGTTAGCCTGCTAATTGAATGTTAATTGGAGATTAAAGTACAGGCGTGTGCTAGAAGAGATGAGTTTACAAACTGTAGGACAACCCAGCTGCATGGATTAAAGGTATGAACTGAGCAGCTAATATTTCATTCGGTGCCAGAGATGGTGGAAGGAGGGGAGCCCATGGTTGGCTTATTAAAAGAAAAATTATATATATTTATGATTTGGCAACCCTCCTCGGAATGCAAGTAAAAATATAAATGTACAAGTGAGGTTGGAAGAAACTGGATTATTAAAATGGAATTTAACAATAAAAATGGAAACTGTGTGTGACCTGAAACAAAAGGAAGGACTATGTTGGAAATATAAAGCCAACCCCACCCACCCTCTACTAGCTACAAAGGAAAGTGGAAAAAAGACTGAGAGGACTTGGATTTAATGTAACTTTGAAGGATAATTAGCCATAAATTATCAGCTGTAAGGAATCATATACCACTCTTCCCAAGCTGAGAAAAAAATGGCGAGAACAGTTTATTTACTGGGACAGAGAGGCTCCAGGAAGCTGCTGTTTGTGTTCTCTGTGCAAAGCAACAAATAGCAATGCAGAGACTTTTGGAAAACAATGGAACAACAGCTCCACCCAAATCATGATGGGTAACAGCAACAGTTGGAGGAAAGAAAGACATAGCATCATATATGGACAAGAAGAAACATACTGGACAAAGTAATTGCCACATGCAGGAAAGAACAATGACAACACAAGTTCCTCACTTGCAGTTTTATAAATTATTTAATGTAACAATATGAATAGAAATTAAGATTGCAGCTGTTTTATAAGGGTTTATCGTTATAACTGGAATGTAACTGAAATTAGTGAGATTTTGGAACACATAAAATAAAATAAAATCAGGAAGCCATCAAATCTAGCACGTGGGGGGCACTTTAATTAAAATGTATAATTTGGGATTTGAATAATTTGTATTAATAACTGTATTAATTGGATATGAATTGGTATTGTTATAATGTGGCTATTATTGGAATAATATTGGAAAACTAATAAAATTTTTTTTAAAAAAAACCAATGAATTAACAAGCAAATAAATTCTAAAGGCACCGAGAATAATAACAATAACAATTTATTATTTATACGCTGCCCATCTGGCTGGGTTTCCTCAGCCACTCTGGGCAGCTCCCAACAGAATTAAAAGCACAATAAAACATCAAACATTAAAAACCTCCCTAAACAGGGCTGCTTTCAGATGTCTTCTAAAAGTCAGATAGTTGTTTACAGTGGTACCTCGGGTTAAGTACTTAATTCGTTCTGGAGTTCCGTTCTTAACCTGAAGCACCACTTTAGCTAATGGGGCCTCCTGCCGCCGCCGCTGCACGATTTCTGTTCTCATCCTGAAGCAAAGTTCTTAACCTGAAGCACTATTTCTGGGTTAGCAGAGTCTGTAACCTGAAGTGTCTGTAACCTGAAGTGTATGTAACCCGAGGTACCACTGTATTTCCTTGACATCTGGTGGGAGGGGATTCCACAGGGCGGGCACCACCACCAAGAAGGCCCTCTGCCTGGTTCCCTGTAACCTCACTGTGCTCGGAAACGTACTGGGAGCCAATGTAGGTCTTTCAGGACCAGTGTTATATGGTCTCGGCGTCCATGTATTAATCACATCTTTCGGCCATGTTGTGGTTTTTAAATTTCTATTTTTAAATAAAAATGTAAAGACAAACAAAATCTCACCTGCAAACACTTGATGGAGCACTAATTAAGCTCTCTGTGGTTGAAAGAGGTGGAACTGTCATGGGATAAAGACCTGAATGGGAATCCACAAAGCTGGGTGCAGTTGTGGTAACTCTGGAGAAAGATGAAGCATTAGGACTTGGCAGATGGGGAGCAGAAGCTGGAGGAAGCACAACAGGAGAAAGGAAAGGAAGTGGCACAAAATTTGTGGGATTTTGAGGTGCAGCCAATGCAGAACATCTGTGATCCTCTGAACTGATATTGTGGAATACATCACCTAAATACAAGAAAGAAAAGTTACCTCATATTCTCAACGTTAACAATGTCTTCATTTCATTGGCAGTCATTTCTGAAATCTGAATAGAATTTATAATCTAGTTTTTTTAAAAATGCAACCATGGATAAAATATTTCGCAATCAGTTGGTTTTAAAGAGGCAATTTAATAATATTGTAATTTAAAATAATTGCCAAATGGCATCTTAAAGCCAAAGCCTCACGCAATCAATTCACTTGTTTGCATGCCTGTTGGATGGTATCTCTCAGCACAGAGATAACTGAAATGAACTTCACTTATATGAGTGTTCTGGGCACAATTCTATTTTCCAAGTTTGAAGAGAGAGAGAGGGTGACATTACAAAGCTATCTTATAAGACATATGATGCAGCAAGGGGCAGAGTCATTTGGGCAGGGACAGGAGACTGACACACAGTTGAGAGCAGAGAAGCAGAGGGAAAGGCTATGGAGGATGCTGAAAGGGTTAGTTTATTCTGCGTTTGGGAGCAAACAGGAACCTGTATAAGAAATATACGTAGAAAGGAACTTGGGAAGAAAGTTTGGTCTTAGGCATACTTCATTTCACATGGTAATGGAACATGTAAGCGGAATTATCTGACAGGCTGTCTATCAAATACTGTGACTTATGTATGCTTGGCTCTATGAGTGAACACCAGAGAAAATTCCTTTTGTCTCCATTCCCACATTTCAACCATTTACAAATCCTAATGATGGTAAAGTTTTACATTGAGATTTTACTGCAAGTCAATGTAATTTACGCAATTTAGTGTCATTCCTCTTTTGTAAACATAGGACAGATAAAGAAATCCTCAGATTACAGGTTAGAGAACAAAGATCAGAACTAAACTATTGAGACTCTTCTAACACATTTTCTGGAAAATAATTTTCCTGAAAACGCAAGGTTTCTAGAGACTGAACAAATTACTTCTACTTAAAAAGTGCAAAGTCCTCACATTTTACTCTGCTAGCAAGAAGCCTATTGGATTTTTACTTTACAAACTGTAACCCCTAATGAGCTGGATGAAACTTTTGATCTGCTGGCACTTTTATAGCATCTGTTTTTAGTTACAGGCTATCTCTTAAAAGTGATTATTATTTTAAGGATGTGATTGTTGCAGATGATATGAACGCAAGCATAGCCTGAAGTGGTAGCCATCCAGTCTTTGGGCTGGTGAAAGATAAGCTGGCGAGCTGTGTAGATGGCCTTGTCACATTACATATTTGTTTGTCACTTAAATGGTTCCTTTTTTATTTATAAAAAGTTAAGACTATAAGTTGGTGTAATGGTATGTGAGTAGTAATGTGTTTTGTAGAAAGTTTGTTATGGAGTTGTAGCAGGAGGCATATTTCCCTTATCATCAACTTAATATGGAATTCACACAGAAAATATACCAAAGAACCAGAAATTAATTACACATAAAACTTTAAAAAAAACAACCCTGGGTGTAGGTGAAAAGCACTTTCACTAGTACTCTGTTTAGAACATTGTAAAAGTTTATCTGTATGTTTGGTTATTAACTATTTCATGCACTGATATTTGAGAGCACAGTACAAGTATTGTTTTCAGATGGGATTGGGTCTTATGTTTCCATTTGTTGTTGTAAAAGAAGACTCATATCGGCAGACATTTACTAGAAACAGGGACTTTTCAGTTGTGGGGCCAACCTTTAGCATACCCTCCCAAGAGAGGCCCACTAAAGTCAGATCTAGATGCAAAGTCAAGCACCAGATCTTTCCAACAACTTCTGGGTTCAACTGAAATTGTTTCTCTTTTGTTTTAGCTCTGCTTTTATTTTGGTTTGCTCTTGTCCATTTTTCCCCCTTTGGCTGTCAATTCTAGGTTTCTTGTTACCTATGTTTGCCCTCTTCCTTTTTTCCTCTGCTAGCTCTTGTGTGAGATTTAAATGTTAGAAAATAAGAACCAGTCGGATCAGTTCTAAGGCCCAAAGTCCAGCATTTTCTTCACACAGTGGCCAAGCAGATGCTTATGGGAATTCTGTAAGCAGAACCTTAGCACAGCAGCACTCTCCTCGTCATAGGGGAATTGTCTCCCTTGGGAGGTGGTGGGCTGTCTTTCCTTAAAGCAGAGATTGGATGGCCAAATGTCTTGGATGCTTTAGCTGAGATTCCTGCATTGCAGGTGGTTGGACTAGACAACTCTATGATTCTATGACTTGTAACTGCTTAAAAATGTTTATGTAAGCTGCTTTGGGAACTCTGTTGGCTAATAAGCAGGATAACAAGTGTATTTAATATTTACCTAGTGATGATGATCTTTTAGATGAAACTTTAAACTGGTTGTTGCTTGACTGTACTGTGGTAGCAGTGCATGAAACTGAAGAGGTTGCTGAAGATGTTGCCATCACTACTTTTTTAGTGTCCATAAAAGATGCATCTTGACAATGATACAGACATTTTTTCTTTAAAATATTTTCCCTCTTTTTGCTCTCAGTTATTACCATTCCTTCATTTCTAGATGTTATGGGAAGTACATTAGGTATCAGTTCTGAAAGAGCTGCTGCTGCTGCAGCACTTCCTTTAAATTGAAGAAAGAGACAAACTAGTTCAGTTGTTTAGCATTATTAACATTGCATTAATGTCACCTAGATGGGTATAGGGCGACACACACACACACACACACACACACACACACACACACACTTTAAATACCGCTCTAAACCCAGCGGTCTCAGGGTGGTTCACAGAGTATGTCTGGAATGGATGACTTCTCATGCTATCAGCTGTAACACAGATATGTATAATCAGAAATATGTTTAGAATTGGTATTATTCCGTTTAAAACTTTAAGTAATGTAATAATTCATTGTAATCTCAAAAGCAATTTCAGGTTAATAGTTTTATACACAGAACCACTATCCAAAACCTCTTTTGGTATTTACAAGCACCGTGTAAACCATCCCAAGGCAGTAATAAAATTCATTATACCATAAACCATTAAACTACAATCTATAAAGCACTAAAACATTTAAAAATATGATAGCAGAGCATTTATTGGAGGGCTGTGCTATTCTTATTAAAGAACCATGATGCAACATATTTATATGTTAAAGAACTTTTTAAAAAATGTACATGAGGTAAGAAGCAAACTATACCCGGAACCCCTGTCTTTGATGCTGGTTTGTTTTATTCAACACCTTCAGCCAGAAGTGCAGGTAAAACAAACGCATTAGGAATATATTGCATTTTGATGCGGAGCCTGAGTTCTTCTCCATCTCAAAAAAACAAAAGTTCAGGCTATAAGTTCTGTTGCTTATGCAGTTAAGACAGCAGAACCCATGCACAAAAGAGAGGAATCAACAGGCTTAGGGAAACCTTAACGTGTGCAGAACTACAAAAATATTTTAGGACAAAGAAACCCCAGCAGCCCAATGAGAACTGAGCATGCTCAGTGGCCATAGAATGATGGCTGACTGGGGAACGGGAACAGAAGAGGGGTGGAATACAGGAGCTACAATACAACATTTTGCAGGTCCACTAGTTTTACTATACAAGCAGCGACAATTTCACATGGGGGTTCTGTTTCCGGCCCCTGCAAGCGGTAATGGAGTGCACCCTGTCCTGCCCCCCCCCATTACTTCTGGGTCAACAAGGACCCACATGTCAGCAATCACGCCCAAAGAGTGATTGCTGAAGCCCAAAGATTTCTGACAATGCTAGTGCATTTGTAAATATCACAAATCAAATGGGTACCTGTATTTGATCCCTCTTTCCCTATTGTCCCAATTGGAATCAGACAGTAAATCTAATTCAGTCAAGGGCCTTTCTAGAACATCCAGAATCAAAGTGCCGCTTTTCAGAGTAAAGCAGAATTATACTCTCACCAGGAAGTTCCTCTTGTAAAGAGGTGGAGGCATTCCAGTTTTTCTCATTCATGACTTCCGATTCCCAGATGCTTAAAAATTTAGAACTCTTCCAGTCTGTGGTACTTCCAAAACCATTTGGATAGATATTATCTTGGAATGGTGTACTGAGTGCTTGCTGATTGTTTCCGTTATTCTGAACCAGGGCCTACAACAAGAGTACTTTCTAATTAGTCTTCTGCTTGTTTATATCCACTCCAAAATTATTAGGCACATACAAGGGAAAATGATGCACTGAGTCATGTTGCTCTGAAAATACCATTATACAACAGCTGCATTCAGACATCATGGTAAGCCACGGTTTATAATGACCAGAATGAGCCTATGCAGTCCTTGGGCTCATGTGCCTTCCCTCTAGCATGACAACAAGGTGTTTGAAAGCATTTCCTTGCTTGCTTGCTTAACTTCAGTTTCTTGTTTCATAGCCTAAGGTCTTTCTCATTACCATGATTTGCTGTTACATTTCAGTTCAGTCACTATATAGTCAGTAGAGCACAGGGCCATAGCTGCAGCCCACTTGTTGCTATAGATGGAAGGAAAACACAGAATGAGGTCACCTGAGTGAGGTGGAACTGATGAGGCTCAGCTCTGTATCTTCTTTTCATCAAATACAGATAAAGTGATGGATGTGCTGAACTGATTCTACAATGTTGGAATGTACTCTGAGGTGTTGAACAAGAGCTTCAGCTGTCATGTATAACTTTCTGTTTGGTGGCCCCAGGGATTCAAATTAGCACCTGTGGTTGATATTGAAGGAATTTAACAGCAGGATTGCGGAGCTGGAGTCCTACCAGCTGCAAAGAAGACCAAGTTAAGAAAACCTGCTAAGCAGATTCCTAGGGGACATGTAATGATGGCACCAATTACCATTGGGTAAGACTGTCTGTTCCATTCAAGTAGGCTAGCACAGTGGTCACCAATGTGGTGCCTGCAGGACCCAGTGTGTCCACTGTACCTCTTATGGTGCCCACAGAAGGTCCAGCCCTCAAAAATCCACAGTGCATGAGAGACTGTTTGCCCTTCTTACTCACTTCCTCTTTGCACTGGCTTGGCCTCTCATACATTGAACATACCCACATCTTTCTATGTGATTTTCAGTTGGCTACATGTGTGTATTGTATTGTATATGCAGGTGTGAATGCATTTTTTAAAGAATATTTTGTAAGGAAAATATAATTGTAGCACTCTTAAATAGTAATGGTAACCTTAATATAAAACGAATGTTTTATTAATTTCTTAATGTTTTAGTTATTCATTCATAGCTGAATGTGTCTCTGGGATTAAAAAACGTCAAGTACCTAATTTTTGTAAAACTGACAATTGATCATCTAATGGCTACTGTTTCCTTGGTAGTGACATTTGATAACACCAGTTCAATAACTTAGCACAGTGGTTTTCAACCCGGGGGTACCTTGAATGATGGTTGGGGATGCTGCAGGCAACACTGGCCTCTGTCTTGCACAGCTCTTTGTTGCAGCAGTCCTGGCTACAAGCTTCCCTGGAAAAACGTGTCTCTGGGGTTGGCCAGGGGGTACTGGTTACCAGGAGCTGAGGCAGCCTTGGAGCAAGCAAGCAGGCAGGAGAGGGAGCCCACTCACCCAGTCCGACAGCCCTTTCTTTGGAGTGGACAGGCCAGGAGTGGGAGGCCAGGCAGGCAGGCAGGCAGGCAGGCACTGCACTGACCTTTCTTGTGCTTGCTGTGTGCAAGGTCTGTGGGAGTTGAGTGCTCGGTGCTGAAGGGGAAGCTTTCCGCTATGCTGGCCCAGTAGTGCCCACTGTTGCCTCCCATGCTAAGGTGCTGTCCTCATGTTCAACTTTGGCCAGTCTCCGTTGGGCCACCAAGCCTGGGGGCACCTTTTTCCCAGGCCCCTGTGGGGCAGTGTGAGGAGGCACCACTCTTTGGGGGGTGGCAGAGGCTCAGAGACCAGAGGCAGCAGCAGTGGCTGCCCAGAGGGAGAGGAGGCTGAAGGAAGACTCCACAAGGGAGAGTGTTTGAAAAAAGATGAGAGGCTGCCAGCTCTACAGGCAAGTGATCACACAACTGGGCTCCTGAGCCCCACAGGGCTGCCACAGAATGAATGTAGTTGGTCAATGGAGCTGTGGACTCAGTAAAGGTTGAAAACCTCTGAACTGGCAAATTATTTTTAACAGATGCATGAAATATCCTGGAACCCGGAAGATTGCCACTTTGACAGACTTACCTTATTTTGTGCAAAGGGGGAAGCAGTGTATAAAGAAGGATGGATTAGTGGAGGAGGTAAGTGAGGAATAGTATGAAGTGGTATTTGTCCATGGATATGAGGATAAAGATGAAGAGCAGGATGGGCAGGTTTTTCTGGCATCCTAAATTGATGCCCAGCAGGAAGACATTTCACTTCAGTGTCTGAAGAAGAGGGGCCTGAGATTTCCTGTTTACAGACATGGCACTCACAACAAGCTGGTTCTTGATCAATCTGCTATAAATGAAAGGAGGGCACACAATGTAAACCACACAGCAAAATTAGAGAAACATTTCTTTTATTTTTTGGAAACAATTATCTTAGATGCAATCTATTGTTTTAGAAAATGACAATAATGACACCTCTCAAATATATAAAATACAATAAGCTTAACAATAACAAGCTTAAAACCACCTTAATTGTTTCTGTTATAAACTGTGTGTCCAATGTATTCATGTACTGACTTGTACCAGGGTGTTTTTTTCAGCCAGAACTCACCGAAACTGTTCCGTCACCACTTTATCTAGAAAAAAAGCCTTCCTTATACCTTCTAGCACTTGAAATACATCTTACTTTCAGAGCCTGGCAGTCCACCTCCTTACCTGAAAATTACATTAATGCTATGGTCCAATGCTTACCCTGAAGTATCTCCCATTGAGTTCAATGGCCCTCCCATTAATTTAGGATTGAAACGTAAGGCGTTACTGGTATTAAATAACATAGGCTTGGAATTCCATTCTTGAGCTTTACAGCATTAATTCTTCTAGATATCAATAACATCAGGTGGGGGGAGTAGAGGATGTTGGTGCAACTAGACAACCTTTACTTCTAAACTTCTGTCTAGTTGCTTCCCCTTACTGGGTGGGGATGCCCAAGAAAGTGTGGGATAATCAGTCTCACATAACCAACATGCTGAAGTCTAATTAATGCATGAAGAGCTTAAGACCATAAGAGTAAGCTGTTCTGCCAGGCTTAGTGAGGTCACTCCTGCTTACCTTGGGAAGAAGGGTTGTCAAGCTCTTTTTTCTCCCACTTTCTCACATTCTACCATGTGAACCCTACCAGGAAGGAGGTCTGGACTAGTTGCTCCAAGCCAAGATCACATGGCTTAAGGAGCTATCTTAGTGTTTCTATACAAATAATTTAGAAACATTTACCACTTTGGAACCTGAGTTTTACTGTCTGTCTTTTCTAAGTGCTGTATGAAAAAGCACATGAATCTGATCTTTGAAAAATTTGTAAGTAAAGCATTTTAAACTTATAAAAGTTTAAACTTACTAATGTGCGATCTCTTTCTATGCTAAGGGAGGTGGGGAATTTTGGAAGCAACTTAGATGGGGATGTTTTAATGGTCTAACAGCCTAAATTTCCAAACTTTACAGTGCCACACATTTTGTGTTTTTAATGCTCTGCTGTGGTTCTCTTGCCAAACCTGGTTCTAGGCATCCAGGAATTCTCTTTTTATTTTACCTACTTTTTCTTTCTCAACCAACAAGAATGTGCTCTGAGGAAGATCCAAAGAGGTATATACAGGAGGAAGTGAACCTTCCAAGTAACAGGTTGTAAGCTCTTTTAGGTTTTAAATGTTAATACAACACTTTAAACAGGCCGAGAAACAAAATGACAGCCAGTCCAGATGAAATAGTACTGGTGTGATACAGTCATATCAGCACAACCCTATTATAACTCTAACACTACATGGATAATGATTTTACAAATACTTTAAGAGGGTGTAAGAAATAGAAAGGCAAATATTAAGGGTGCACGGATTATGATTACATCAAAACCAGAGATTGGTCTGCTATAATATATGAAAAGGAATCCTTCTGCAACTACATTAGGACAGTTCAAAGGAGGAACTGGGGCAGCACAGATGTTGATATTGACAGCCAGCTGTGGAAACCCTGGAACACACCCTGTAGTGCAGTATATGTAGTTGTCCATGTCCATAGTGAAGTGGGACAGCGGGGTAGAGGACAGGCTGGTCTTTCTGCTCAAAAACCAGACACCATAGGATCATATTTTATCTAGCCAGATTCCTAGTTGCAGTTCTGTCTATTAAAAAGGAACGGGCTAAATTTCATATGTCTGACTACCACAATGATTTAAAACACTGAAAGTCTGGAGTGGGAACAGGGGTGGAGGAGCCAGAAAATGAGTGATTGCTAACTTTGGGTGAAAATATCAAATTGAATTATAAATATACAGTTATGTGCAGCATTTCACTATTTTGTAATGTGATATTATTTATTAGTACTGCTGTGATTTCTCTCTTTTTTTGAACAATTTATCATTGGCTAACTAAAAAGAAATCCAGAAGAACATTGTTTCAGGGTTCATATACATTACTCTTAAGAACTAAATGTGTTTTACCTGCTGAATAGAGTATGATGACAAAGAACTGTCTGTTTTCGCTTCATCCTTCCTTCGCACATTAGTTCCAAGCATTAAATCCCCTTCTTGAGCCCTTGGTAAATTACCACCATTCTCTTCATCTGCTTCTTCAGCATCTGCTACTGATGAACTGCTACTAGTGTTACTACTCTGCTGGGGAGACTGATAAATAGTTCAGGGTGAATATGATTTTAAATTACATCTGAATTGCTTTATGATTCTGCTATATGTGTCCACCACCCTGGTACCCCACAAGATGAACAGTGGTATATAAATGTAAATAATAGATGTATAAAATGTATTTCAAAATTACAGTACCTCAGCCTTTAATGCCATGTTTTTGACTCCATCAGTTAACAGTCTGTGGATCCCATTCATGTTTCTGACAGCCTCAGCATTATCGTAGTGATTAATACAATAAATATCAGGTTTTTCTGATACTGCTGAAATATCTTCATTTTCGGTATTACTGTGAAGAAAAGTGGGGGTTTTTGTACATGCTAAGTAGGTCAAGCAATAGAGAACTTTGAAAAGAAAGTAAAATGCAATTTCCACTGGTTTTGAATTTGTAATTTTCTTCTAGAAATAGGGGTTGGGTGTTTATTTTAATACCATTTCACTGGAATTTGTAACAGAAATAAAAGCTCTGGGTGCAAATCCAAATATAGACGACATGTAAGGCATTTCCAGATTTTTCATTTTAAAAAGATGCCATACTGCATTTTAGCCCTAAAAGCATTGATTCAAAGACATGATACATCCTAAAAGCATAATGGATAGCTTTGTGGTAAAAAGGGTTAATTCTGATATCATCATTGTCACTCCCCTTGTACTTGAGTGCCAGTGAAGCAAATTTCTATGCTACGGCAGAGGACTTCCATCACAAGTGAATGGACAAGGTATGCTCAAACCCCTTGTCACTATCGGTAGTCCAGTGTCTGAAGGCTTGCTCTTGTATGTTAATAATGAATGGGGCTTCTCCATACTTTGCCTAAAGATCAGTATGTTTCAGCTCCCAAAAAACTAAAGTAGCTCAGGAGTAAATCTGCCATTCTGCCCGCCACTTAATTATGCCGGAAGTATAGCCTATGTTTCAAATTTCATGATTCGAGGATAGTTCCAGTTTTTGGGAACAGGCTGATCATAATGGGTCTAATTACAGGTGGAAATGAATCGGCGTACGGGGGGAGGTTCAAAAGAATCTACATGGTGCTTAGAGAATAACTTGCACCTAAATATTAGCACGACAAAGGAGATGGTGTTGGACTTTCAGAGGAAGAGAGGGGAACTAGTCCCGCTGTATATCGGGGGGGGGTTGTGTAGAGAGAGTCTCTTCCTTTAAATTCCTGGGAGTTTACCTTAGTGAAGACCTCACTTGGAAAAACAATATAACTCAGGTGGTTAGGAAGGCCCAACAGAGACACCATTTCCTCAAGGTCTTGCAAAAGAACAACGTTAAACAACAACTGATGACCTCCTTCTACCGGTCCACAATAGAAAGTGTCCTCTCATATTGTATCACAGCGTGGTACATTGGCTTGACAGCCACGGACAGAAAGTCTTTACAGAGGGTGGTGAACACAGCACATGATATCATGGGCTGTCCCCTGAGCCCGCTAGATGACGTCGCAAGGGATCGTTGCCTTAGGAGAGCGAGAAAAATTCTCAGGGACGATTCACACCCCAGCCAGCACCTCTTTAATCTTCTCCCCTCGGGCAGGAGATATAGAAGTATAATCAGTCGTACCAACAGACTAAAAAACAGTTTCTATCCGTGGGCTGTTAGGCTGCTGAATGGAAAAAGTGCAACTGACTTTCAGGGTTGGTGTGTTATGCAACAAGCACACAGAGCGCAATGAGATTGAGTGTTTGTGGGAGGGGGGAGGCTTGGTTAATTTCATTGTACACAGGTTGTACATTGACAATAAAGGTGCTATTATTATCATCACAAGTTTAAAAATATACAGTATTTCTAAAGCTGGGGTCCACAAGAGCCTCAATTGTATGTTAGTGCTTCTATATTTACAGCAGGGTCTCATCTTCTTTGTCTTCTAACTTGCATTCTATGCCCTGTACCAAGTGCTGCTCACCCTCTTCAACACCAGCACATGGAACTGCCACTGGAAAAGCAGTAAGGACCCAGAAAATCCACTGCACACAAAGAAATTCTTTTCACTACTGTTAGATTCTGTTCTCAAAATTTCACATTTTACTATGATCAAAAGAACAACAAGGCCACACTTACAAAGGTGATCCAGAGCTATTATCTGCAAGGATGAGTCTTTGTCTGTCTAACTGCTGGTCAGTAAAAGGAGAACTGGAACTAGACCCTGAGCTTCCTGATGATATACTTCGTAAGTGCATTTGAGAGAGATAATCGGGAGCAGAATCAATTTGAAGGGGAAGCTGGTTACTATGGACATCGTCTGTAGCTGGTGAATCCATGATTCCACACATCAGAATATGCGAAAGGCTGCAGTCATCACAAGTACATCTGTTCATGAATTCAAAATAGAATATTATCAACACCAATATTTTGTTCAATTTCATTAAATTAAATATTCACACATAAAACAACCAGTGGAAAATTTTTCCTGTGAGAAGTTTGGACAGAGTCCAAAAGCCAGGAAGATTTGCAGCGTTTCCCCCAGGCGACATGAAGCAAGGCCAGAGACACAGAGCTGCAGCACAGATATGGTGACTAGCTGATCCAGTGCAGAGGCGAAGGCAGACCTTTGTGGAAGATGGAACTGGTTCACCAAAGGGTTAAGACAGAGCTTTCCAAACTTTTCATGTTGGTGACACACTTTTTAGACATGAATCATTTTGCAACACATTAATTCAGTTTTACTAGCAAACCAGAGGTTAAACTAACTCCTTTCCAGCACCGGAAGGAGTGTGAGGAGTGTTCACGCAACACACCTACACACTGCAGCCAACAGTCTAATGTGTCACGACACACAACTTGGAAAGCTCTCAGTTAAGATTTTATTATGAAATAATATTTTACTACTATAGCTATTAAATATTATCTACTCACCTGTGCCTGAAATTACAATTAGGACAGTCAGAAATACTCAGTCTTGATGACAACAGATGTCTCATTGTGTCTGTGAAGTTATTTTCTCCAGATATTGCTTTACTGCCATTTAACTAGAATTAGCAAGGATATATAAAAACTTTGAGCAATTTTCAGTAACATTTCAATTGCTGTTGACAAAAAATCATTTTAAAACCATAAATTCAAAATGAAATTAATAACCTGATAAAGCACAATCTGATAATATACACACTCCATCAAGTAACTGTACTAATGCCTCTTTCTGAGGCTTGCAAATTACTACTCTCCTGGTCACCTGGGGCAAATACTGTAGAAATTGTCCTCAGGTAACAAGGACTAATCAAGACTCATGTCTGCAGTTAGGTGAAATATGAGCCTGCTTTTAAAAAAAATCAAAATCCATTACACATGTTCAGTTCAGCACTTAGTAAGGATTCAGTACCAATGCATAACTGAATAATATGTTCAATTTGGCATGTTTCATAAACAACGCTATATTGCAGCTGCATTTTGTAGTCAATTGTGCCTCTAAAATTGTCCACTTGATTACTTGTACTAGATTATTTACATTCAGCATGTCCTGAAACTGATATGTTTGAATTTGTTAGGCAAGCCGTTATTTGTATTTAAAAGAAGGTGCAGCTGCTGATCTCTTACTAAGAAAGAGACTGACACTTTACTTGGAACTAAGTCTGAGATCAAAGGAGCTAATTTCCAAGCATATGTAGTTGAGGTCCTAGGCACGTTTACCTGAGAGTAAGTCCCAGTATGCACAACAGATTTTCTCCTGAGTAAATACAGGATTAGGCTGTATGTGTCAGTCTAAGTCTGTTAGTTTGTTTTTCTTTTTTTGTTTTGTTTTGTTTTTTGGTATTTTATTGGGTCAGGGAAGGTAGGAGGAAAAGAGAATTGTTTCTCCGAAGTTAACTCATGACAAAAATATTTTTAGGAGACCATCATTCATACTTTTTCTTAATCCTCTAATCCATGAATGGCTACAGCAAAAGGGATACTATTGAAGGAGGAGATCTATAGAGTATATAAAATGATACTTCTTCAATAGAATCCCCCATATCTATCTATATCTCCATTCCACACATGTATGGGCAAAGAGGTTATTTAAAAAAGTTGTGGCCCACTAACTATTGTGGACATGTTTAAAAGGCTGCTCTCATATTAAACAAACACTAAATAAAACTCAATATTGTAGCTGTATATAGGTTGTTTTTAGTTAAACTGTACAGAGGCCAAAGCTCTTAATTCATATCAATCCAAGCTTTTTTCACTACATGAAGCAGACAGAGAAAAGATACAGTAGTGGCCAAAATTGTGGAAATCTTTTGGAAAACATGCATTACATTCTTCATTAAATTATTTTTCCATTGATATGTAATTTTATGGCATTACTTTAAAAAAAAAAAAGTAGTGTTATGAGCCATCATTGCCAAAATAAGAGGACACATGATTGGCTCTCTAAACACTCCTTTTTCTGGTTATTTGGTTATAACTTTTGATAGAGTACAGATAATTAAACAGACTTTGTTGCATTACATTCTTCATTAAATCATCTTTCCATTGATATATAATTTTATGGTATTACTCCCCCCCAAAAAAGAGGTCGCGTTATGAGCCATCAAACCTTGGAAATACACTTTCTCCAAAAGGTTTCCACAATTTTGGCCACTAGTGTACGTACCGAAAATGGGTGTCACCCTTTTCTGCTAATGGCATTTAGGAATCAATAGTCTCTGATAATCCACTGTTCTACATGTCTGCCAGACAACATACAGTGTGATCACACAGTATCAGAAATGCAGAGTTTGAGCCAACAGTTTTGCAAGTCAAGCATTGATCCCCGACTCCATCAGGGCTGCCGGTCAGAGGAATCAACAGCAAACAGTTCAATTCAGGATATTATCACAACAGCTGTGACCTTCCTAGTTTTGGAAATCAGGTGCTAAGAAATCCAGTCCTGTGCTTGCTGTCCATCATGAAGTTGTCATATCTGCTCAATACATTTTTTTTATAAGTGGACCAATCTAATCATAAGATTGTACAGCTGGAAGGGACTATGAGGGCAATCTAATCAGTCTCAAGAGCAGCAATTTGTGCTCGTGTAAACAATGATCTAATCACGACAATAATATCTGCCATGCCCCTGATAAAGCAGAATGTTTCTAGAGCCGCATGTAACATTAAATACAACACAAGCTTTGTAGCCCTCTAGTGCCTATGTGAGGTGATGCCAGAATCCTTCTACTTAAAGATACCCGGACTTCTGGTTTCCTGCTGCGGGAAATGGCTGCCTCCCACATGAATGGACCCAAGCCGTGCCAGTAATTCAGGACTGATTTGAGGGTAATTAGCCATGGCAGATTCTCCAAGGTGAGAGAGGACTGTCTCACAGACCCACAAATTGTCCGTGATTTGTTGGCTTGCATCAAAGTGCGAGCGACAGGGACGCTGGGTCTAAAAGCACGGTATGGCTGGCACTCTCCAGAGCCACTCCTGCATGCAGGAGACACCTGTATTCTAAAATAAGAAGATTTGGACAAAAAACAGGCATGTTCCAGATGGAGGAGATTAAAGGAAAAAACTGTCAAATTATGCAGTCGTTGAATGCTGAACTTTGGACTTTAAACGGACTCTCATCTTGAAACGTGGACTAAGGAGGTGAGCAACCGCTCTTTCCGTACTTGTTATATTACATCACAATTTGGCGAAGCTCATCCAGAAAGAATTTAATTACTTGAACGAAACACAAGAGGTGAAAATTTTAATTGAATGCATGATGCACAGCCGTCAACGGAGAACTCTAATTAGAATTAGAGCTGGCAAAATAAGATCAGATATGGCGGCTCAGGCTGAAGATGGAAAGAAAATGGCGATCATTATTGCACAGTTACAAAAAAAGGGGGGGGGAATTCTAATGGAAAAGAGCTCCTTTGAACTTGGGGTGTACTTCATTCTAAAATACATCTGCTTGTATGGATTATTTTTATACATGATTGTGGACAGAAATTGTGGACAGAAGGATGGAGAGCGCTGGATCCCTGCCAACTCTTCTAGGGCCCAGAGGAGCTGGGGGGGGGGTCCTTTTATTCTTGGAGGAATTTAAATAATTCTCACATAATATACAGCCGGGAAGCATACCCTACAATACAGCATTATATACAGTGGTACCTCAGGTTACAGACCCTTCAGGTTACAGACGCTTCAGGTTACAGATTCCGCTAACCCAGAAATAGTACCTCAGGTTAAGAACTTTACTTCAGGATGAGAACAGAAATCACGCGGTGGCGGCACAGCGGCAGCGGGAGGCCCCATCAGCTAAAGTGGTGCTTCAGGTTAAGAACAGTTTCAGGTTAAGAACGGACCTCCAGAACAAATTAAGTTCTTAACCAGAGGTACCGCTGTACAGACATATACGGACACCAGCTCATTAAGAGACATCAGAGAGAACTTGTTGACTTGCCATTTTTGAACTCTATTTTTGGAACAAAGCCCGGTGCCTTTAATGAGAACTTGACGAACAAAGGAGAGATAAGAGGACTGAACATCAAAATAATTGGACAGAGAATAAGATGAATAAAAAATGCCTCCTGTGTGTTAACAATACAAAAATTTGCTACAGAAGATGCGAACCACAGGAACAATGACTAATTAGACAGAGAATAAGGACGACTATCTCTAGACATCTGGATCATGGGAAGTCCCCCCCGCCAAAATAATAATAATAATAATTGAAATATATAAATGGTGGTATTGTTATTATTGTAATTTGGATTGATTTGATTTAATCTGTCATTAATTGGAAGATTGTTATTGAAAATGAATTTTAAAAATTAGCATAAAAAGATACCAAAGAGGGTCTGGTAAAAACAACCAATTACAGGACTAGATTAAGATAATGATAGAAGCTTAAAATCTGAGAGTTCAGAATCACTTTTAGAGTCCAGGGTTTAGCTTCCTCAAGAACAGAACAACCCATACGTTTTGTCCACCTATGACACCACAGCAGCAGATGGGCTTTTGTAAATGCAACATACTTTTATTGTGAAGCAACAAGGCAGGAATCTACTACCCAGTCACTGAGTTCAATAGCACTTACTTCATATTAAGTGTCCCTAGGGTATAAGTATACCATTATACATTATAACACAAATGGCTGGAAGTTTGGTCCCTTTGTGAAGAAATGTGTTGTAATACATAAAATATGAACTCCAATGTAATTATTTAAAAGTTGCCTTCACTCTAAAATATATTCTGTTTGTCAGAAGGTATATGGTGGAAACCAACTGATGAGGTAATTTAACATAAAAATATGAAGTCTGACAATATTTTATGTGGGTATCCTCAATTATATGTCATTTCACATAAGCAGCCTTTTGTTCATCTTCAAGAACATGACTGAAAACTCTTCTGAGCATTGGCAACAAAACTGGGTTCAAGCACCAAACAAACTTTCAATCCTAACTAGGCAGATAGGTCTTATGTTCCCAACTTGCCAGGGACAAAATGAGCCAAAAATATTTTAAACGTCTTTTAAAATGAACTAATTGGTTTCATTTTTCTGCTTCTAGAAAGCTTTTAGGCTGCATTTTACCATTTTTATTGTTGAATTTTAATTGTATTGCATTTTAATGTTGTGGTTTATTCTTTGTTCAAATATCCAGCCACACCAGGCTTACTGAATCACTGTGAGTAAAGAAAACCTCTCAGACAGTAACAATTACAAATTAAAGGTACACTACAGGTGGGTGTGATCAGACCTATAAAAGTCATGTGGCTTTGCGACTGCAAAATGCACCCATGCATTTTGATATACATGTAATTTTCATCCACCTTACAGAATTTCATATCCAAATAGCCTTAAAGATTTGCAGAATTATCTTGAAGAATATAGAAGATCCATGCAATCATGGAAACTAGAATACAGGTTGCAGGAGCACTGAAATAATTTATTCCAAATATGTATTTCAGCTGATGCAAACATTGGCACCAAATCCTGTCAGCTTGAAATCTTGCATTTCAGAAAGTTACTCACAGAGCAGAGACCCCCATACCTGATATGGTTTTCAGAGAACTGGGAGCTTTTCTTGATGCATTGAGTACACTCAATGTACTGAGTGAACACTCTTCAGTACCACATGAAATTCTTGTCAGGTATGAAGAGTTCTGCAAGGCAACTGAAGAAGGTGTTCAGTTGAAGACAAAGCGAGGTACTGGATGGTTTACAAAAAATTCTTACATTTCTTTCAAGGAGCAAAAAAGAGGCTTTGACCTACTACTGTCCACTGAGGCTTTCTGTCCTTTGTATTCATAACTATGCAAGCTGGTTGGTGTAATTCCACAGCAACTTTCTGAAAATGCAGGAATTTCATTCAGGAATCAAAACTGAATTCCACATGTATTCCTTTGCAATCTGAAGATCATGGAAGTTAAGCAGTTTAGCTGAGCCCTGGTGTTTTGACTAGAAGTCTATGTTCATGCAGTAAGCAGGCTAAAGCATTTACTAACTTCATTTCAATAACAGAATGGTGGGCTCAAGTCATTACATCAGAACGTGCCTACTGTTTCACCAGCTTGGTTTTGTTTGGGTGTGTTGTTGTTGTTTTACAAAGGAGAGCTTTCAACCTCATCAAAGAGCATCAAAGAACATGAGGACAAATGTCTGATTGCACAAAGCGCATGCAATTCCTTTTGTGACAGTAAAACAAAAAACACCCCATTATTATGAATTCTGGAAAGGACGCTAGGATGACAACCAGGGTTCTCTCCCTGAATGCTGAAGAAAATTGCTGAGCAGTAGATGCTGATAGATTTAAGAAACTTGCTTGTAAGTGATGTTTCCATTTGCTTTAGGATGTGAGAAGACAAAGAAAAAAAGATTTTTAACAGAAAATCCCTGGAGATCTAATTGGGAGAATCCTTTACAGTACACTTGAAAGAAAAAAAGGGGCAAAGGCCTGTGCACTCAGATTCACCAACTCCCTTATCAGTTGCTTTGTGCCCTATTATTAATTTGATGAACAAGTATGATAAATCCATACTGTTAAGGCACTTAGAAAGGTTTGTGACAAGTGATTCCTGTGGTTTTGTGAAAATGGAATGTTTTTTCTTCATCTCTTTGGAGATTTGCATGTTTGGGCAACTTTCTCTCCATGTTTTGTGAAAAATACAGTATAACATCTTAATGAATTGATGCCATACTCCCATAACTATTTCACCACTTATTGAGATTTTGGATCAAGAGAAAAGATTTAACATTGAAGAGTAAGGATTACAGTTCAGTATTTCTGATGCAGCTTATCACAGACCAGATCACTTCTGAAAGCACTACAAAACAATAACTTCAATCAATCACTGCTTTCTTATGTGGTTAAAGGACTGAATAAAGAATGGCCCTACCTGGCACCAAGGAGGTCTATAATATGATGGTGATTTGACACACAAATGACAGTTGGGGTGGTTAATGAGCAAGAGATACAGATTATAGACTGGGGTGGTAGTAAGCCGTTCTGAGAGGATATTCATCTCCACAGGTGATAAATGCCCAATCCTATGCAAGTCTACTCAGAAGCAAGTCCTACTCTGCTCAAATGAAGCCTATTTCTGGAAATGTACGCTGAGGACTGCAATCTATGAGGAGACTGAAACAGATTCAGCTATGGAAGAAATAAGAGGAAAATAGAAGAGGAAAAACAAAAAGTAGCATTACAAGAGGATGATCACAAAGGGCTACAACAGCAAATGGGGAAATAGAACTCACTGGACCTCAACGTGCATTTCTCATTTTTGTTTGTTAAGAAAACAATGCTTGCCAAACTGTTATCTTTAAATGAATTACTTCAGTATCCTAAGCAAAAATTTAATTTAATTTGAGGCTAGTAATTATGGATTCAGATTCAATAGAAATATGAGGAGTATCATTAGGAATTTTGCTTATTGGGAGAACCCACCCGAGTGCTCTCTGTTGTCAAGTTACAAGTCAGATAACCATTCTGAAGTTTTTGTCAGAGGATACAACTCATTTAAGTGAATCTGTTACTGTACAGTGGTACCTCAGGTTACAGACGCTTCAGGTTACAGACTCCACTAACTCAGAAACAGTACCTCAGGTTAAGAACTTTGCTTCATGATGAGAACAGAAATCGTGCAGCGGGGCACAGCGGCAGCGGGAGGCCCCAGTAGCTAAAGTGGTGTCTCAGGTTAAGAACAGTTTCAGGTTAAGAATGGACCTCCGGAACGAATTAAGTACTTAACCCAAGGTACCACTGTAATAGGTTAATGGGAATCTGTGCATTTTCAGTTTATTTAAAATAATGGAAAACAAATTAAGGAGGACAGTTATGCTCTAAGTACACTTTCAGTGGTGGCTGTTTGCATAGTACACATACAATATGCAGACTTGAAGAAAAATTAATATTGCTGAAAAGCACAGAAAGGCTCTTCCAATTCTTTATATACAATTACGGCAGCAATCCTATTCACATTTTACTAGAAGCAAGATTCACCAAACACAGTGAAATTTACTTCTGAGTAAACATGCATTGAATTGAGCTGTGTTAGATGGAAGTATATAGTTTTACCTGTTCTATGAAATGCCTCTTCCTAAAAGCTTCCCAGTCTTCTTTCAGAAAGGGTTCTTTTGTTCTCACTGTCACCTGGAACAAAATTAAGCTAAGTTCACTGATTAACACTGCTTGATTTCTACTTTACCCAACTCAGAACATACATGCTTATATCCCGATTATTGAATAATATAGCAGCTTAAAGCCATAAGATTTGTATCAACAAAAGTTATGGTACGTAGATGCAGAAAAAATGGAGGTGATCTATTGAATTACATTGAATTGAGCTGGTTCCTACCTTTTCTAATGTAGAAACCTGCTTTCAAGCTCACACAAGGCTAAACTTAAAATTGAAAAGCTGGCAACAAATATCCTATACAAACAATTACATGGCTAGCACAATTAGATAGAACACTTATAATAAAATATAAACAGTGTTTTATAAGATCAAAGTGGATGGCTAGGGCTCAGATGGTACACATCCTAACAAATCCAACATACACCCACTAAATTATTGCTTCTTGCTCGCTCAACCCTGAGCCACAGAACCATCAGCATTGTTATTTTCCTTGGCTGAAGGGAAGTCAGTGGCAGTAACTACCCCATCCCTCAATCCATTAAAACCCCCTCTCTCTTCAGGCTTGGGCTTGAATATTCTGAGGAAATTCACCAGCAGAATGAAAGCAGTATTCAAGGAAACTGCCAATCTATCACACTGGGGAATGTTGGGATTGGGGAAAGCGGAGATCATTCTGACACATGTTTTTAAGCAAAAGGAATGTCAAAAACCCTCCACTTCTTAGTCCACATCTGAACAATGAAGCTAATAGATATATGAATGCTGATTATATGACATTCTAAAACCTGTGGTTTTGTAAGCTGTCTGGAATCAATATCCTGTTAGCAATATATAAATTAAACCTTAAGATCCTAGGTTCAATATGCAGCATCTCCAGACTCTGGTGCCAGTCAGTGTAGAGCACAAGTGGCCAACCCCATATGGGCCACTTTGACAGGTGGCCACCCACTTGGCAATGACCCAACTGCATATAGCGTCAGGTGACTGTAACTTAAATCTGTGGCTAAAAATATGTACCAGGAGTGCATCACTCCCAATTCTTCATCTGAAGCTGCAAACTGAAGTTATAACATGGCACCTTTTTCTGCCATTGTGAAAAGAGAGAGAAAATAAGGCACCTGAATCAAAAAGCACAAAATTCAAATCCCAAGTACAAAAGAAAAATCAGAGTCATGCATTCCTGATTCTTCCTTTTGGAGCCCATGCTTTTTACAGCTGCTGCTTTACCTGTTCTCTACCCAACTTCATACGGCTACAGGCAGGCATGACTTGGGCAAAACAATATAATGGGGAGGCTTGATGGGCTGAATTCGCCCCCCCCGCCCCTCACAAGAACCACCTGCCCAGTGGGAGGGAAGAAGATAGGGAGGCAGGTGGTCAAAGACAATGTCAGGGCCTGCTCCAGTCAGAGTACTCCCTCCTCTCAACAACCCCAGGCCCATCTGTCCTATAGGAAGGAACACCTGATGCCAACTTCTGCTTCAGTAGGACTGATAGTTGTTTTATGAGCATGTGATTCTTGGTGTATCTGTTGTGCTTTATAAACACTGTTCCACTTTGAGGACTCTGACTGGAAAGGGAGATATAAATCTACTAAATAAATTGATAATAAAGAGCCCTGCAGGCTAGAGACTACCCACCGCTGGTATAGAGACAGTAAAGAGATAAATAGGCCAATAGCCTGACTCTGTATTCTTATTATAACCTTATTCAGGTCCTAAAGCTTTAGACCAGAAGTGTTTTGCAGAGCTCTGTATCCTTCAAAATAGCTTAAATCCACATAAAAACTTTTGTTATTAGTCTTTTTAAGCTTCTCTGAAACTATCCGAACTTATTCACTAAAAGATAATAGCTTTATGTTAATGTCAAATTGCTAGGTACTATAATTTGAGGTATTTACAGTATGCATACATAAAAGATCTGTTTGAGGAAACTATGAAAAATGCATGCTTTAAACATTTTAATGAAGTATTTAAAAACCTGTATTTCTGAACTTTAAAAAAATATAAATGAATTGCTGTGGATACTGTGAAGCTAGAAGATATTGAAGGATGTTCAAAATGGGTCTGAATCTACCGTAGATGCCGGCGTATTAGGCGACTGGGCAGCTGCCAATTTGGGGGGTTGACTTATACGCCCAGTCTTATACGCGGCAGCTTCGCTGGGCAGCAGCAGTGGGCGGTGGGCTCTGCGCGAGGAGGAAGCCGCCCAGCGAAGCCAGCTTAGCATCGCTGGGCAGCATCGCTGGGCAGCTTTGCCAGTCAGCTTCCTCCTGGCGTGGAAGAGAGGCTGCCATCTACTGCTGCTGCGGCAGCTTCGCTGGTTAAAAAGTCGTCTTATACGCCGGAATCTACAGTAAGTCAAATGCCTGAGACAGATCCATCCCATCATGAGTAGCTTAGCCCTATATGCTCTTAGCTCAAACAAATCTTACTAGAAGATTTTAAGAGTTCTTTGGAAAGAATTCTAGACTATAAAATCTCAGAGAACATTCCATATTGCTGTTGATTTTAGCCTAACCGAATAGAAATTACATGGATTTTGAAGTTGTGTCTCTTGCACCTTAGTCTAGCATTCTAACCATACTAGCTCTCTTCTTTATTGGTTCTGGTGTAATATACTCCACTAGTATATTACACTTAATTCAATAGCTAAAAAAATCTTGCAACTTGTTCTTCTTGCAAATGAGACCTAGGTCAACTGTGAAGTTCAGGTATTTATTTTATTTACACACCTGTAACACTTCTTTCTCAGATTCAAAAATTCGTATTTTATTTAAAAGTTCTATTTATCACACAATACTGAAGACTCAATACAGGTATCATGTACCGATTATTAAAACACAGTATTTAACACTTAAATTAATTTGGTAAAAAGAAGTGTACAAATTAAAAACAAAAATGCTTTAATCCATCTCAGATCTGTCATTTCCTATTACAGCACATGTGATAAACAAAGAATCCAACAGAAAGAACGTGTAGGGGAAACAGTTTCAAAGATGTTGAAAAGCAATGCATTTTTTTATTAATGCTCAATATGCACTGGCCTAAACAGGGCTTCCTAAGGGCCTTTTCCATAAAAGAATAGGGTGGTTAATAAACAAAGCTAAACACACACACACAGAGACTCCTTTAAAACACAATCTCAAGAGTCATATATGTGTAAAACTCTCATTATCAACTTTTTCATAGAAAATGCTTCATGGTAACACAAACAAACTTTCCATATACATGTAAAAAGGCAGAGGGGTGTATTACACATCACAGTTCTACAAGATGCTGCTGTCTGCAGCAACCATGGCAGGCAACACAAAGAGTAAGTGGGCTGCCACTATAAAAAATTTAATGTGCAGTTTTATGACATGTAGCAAGTCCTGCTAATCTGGGAGCAATAATATACCTGCATGGCTACCCAGCAAAAACTACATGTACAAATACTCCCTGTGCCACAAACACAACTTTCACTTAACACTTCATGAGAACAGTTGATAGCAGAAAAGTTTCAAGGTGATAACTTGCATCTCCAATTCCTCCAGTTTTTTGGAAGCCAGTTGCTGGCTTTCCTTGCTCCCTGTCATCTTCTTCAAAAGCAAATATATATTAGGCAAATGACTAAAATAAAATGATTTGTGCACATACACAAACATATTAAAATAATACACCTATACACAGTGTTAACAATTATCTGCATCTCTTTACATATACCTGTATACAATTTGTTTTAACACCTGAACTTTCTGATTAAGATTATATATATATATATATAAATATATATTATTTGCTTACCTGTTCATCAACATAATCATCTATTCTTTTCTGATATTCAAGCCATGTTTCAGCAACTTGACCCATCTCCTGTTCCAATTGGTGATACTGTTGAAGCAAGTTACTATATGTATCTTCGCTACAGGAATCATGTGTTACTCCTAGCCTAACAATTAAGATAACAGTAAGTGTATAGTCTTATGTAAACAGCCTTAACTAAAATATATTAAAGCATTTTGTTCTATCAACTAGCATTTTTACTATATTCCAGAAACTTATCATACCAACAAATCCAAATAATAAATCTTGTTTATTGGTCCTTTCTCAGAATTGGCATTTTTCTCATGGAAAGATTAAACATCTTGAGTAATTATTAAAGGACAAATGAGAAATAATTTAGCCAAATCCAAGAAATGGGTCATAAAAAGATGGGGAAACTTTGCAAGCCTCACTTTTGAGATCTAATGACGTATCCTGTCCTGGCATAAATTAAGATGTAAATGGTTTAAACAAATAATAACAATAAATATATAATTAATTCCCATTTTATGCTATTTTCCAATGAAATTAACTGATGGATTTAAACTAGACTAAGAAGTTGTTTTGTCTTCCCTATTTCATATTTTCTATCTTGCATTGCTTTACAAGCTAGGGTGCTGATAGAACTATTAAATGAGCTAGATCAGAAGTATTATATATTGTTTCAAGGGTATATTTTTGCACTGCCTTCACCTTCAGACCCAAAACTTAATGTATTCTTGACATCAATTCTACCTTTATTTTGTGCCCTTTGGGCAACATTAATGTAATTTGTCACATCAGACATTCTCTTGATGTTAAAGAAAGGAAATACAAGTGGCCACAGCAGGGGTTGCCAACCCTTTTGGACCAGTGGGCACATTTGGAATTTTGAGGAAGTACTATGGGTGCCTGTCAAAATATGATGGCTCTGAGGTATTTGGCATAACACAAAATGGCAGCTATAGTGGGGGCATGGCATTAACACAAAATAGTGGTTGTGTGAGTGCCGCATCTAAGAGAGCAGAAATGTGGCTGGGGAAACCCAGCCAGAAGGGTGGGGTATAAATATTATTTTTTAACATCACCATCACCATCATTATTATGGAATGCAAAATGGTGCATGTATCATGACTGCTCACAGAAAGAAATTATTTGCACCTCTTCAGAACAAGAGAGTTGGTTTCAAAAACCAAGTGCAGGAGTTTCCTGCACTCAATTGGAAGCCACATTGGACGTTTGCCTTCCAAAAATAGTTTGCAAACCAGAACAGTCACTTCCGGGTCTGTGGTGTTTGGGAGCCAAAACGTTCAAGAACTAAGCTGTTCAAAAACCAAGGTACGACTGTATTTAAAATTGGCCAGGTGCATTTTGCATCTGAGTATTAGCCACTTGCGACTAAGTGAAGATGCCTGGGTAGCATCTGACATCTCCATCATCTGGGGATCATTAGATCTTGACTGTTTTTACCCACAAATATCATCCTGTAAAATTCTTTCAGATATATTTTATCTGCAATCAGAATGAATTTCAGGGACCAAAATGCTTTTTCTGTGCAGCCTGAGCAGGAACAGTGAACATTATAGTTAATTGTTGTAGTTTGTCTTCACTTACCCTACCCCACTGCCCTGCTCACAGTTGTGAAGAATACTCTTATGCTATGAATGATCTGGGTCACCATTAAGAAAATATACATAGACTGTCCCTGGATAAAGTAACTTTTCTTCTTTAAGTTCTCAAAGTTCTTAATGTAGCTCAAGGTTGTCATCTGACCTAGCCAGATGTTTAACTGATAATCAATCATAACCAGTCCATTTGAAAAACAAGACTTTCCATTTTGGCAACTGTAACCTCGGTTTAAGGAGCCATTTGTTACCTAGCTTACAGAATGTCTAGTCACAGTTCCCCTCCCTGTCCACTTCAGTTGCACTTCTATTTATTTTTTCAAAACACATGAAATAATACACAGTTCATATAAGGGACACATTGTTAATATCACATTTTTAAAAGCAATTCTTAATTGGACACCACAAACATAAATAGGACTCAGCTCCTGCAATAAGGGTGAAAATCTTGTCATTTGAAAAAATAGTATTTACAAATACCGGCATGTATAGATATAGATATAATATATGTTATTTAAAGTATTGTGCTAGATTTGAACTTACATGTTTGGGGTGGGGTGACAAAGCGGCACGCAGAAGGCAGCAGCAATCTTTCCTACTCTAGAGTCGGGCAGGGAGGCATTTCTCCTCCTGCGCCCACAGCACCAGCAATTTTAACACTGTATCTCAGTTGCATACATGGCGACAAGACTTCTCAAATTGCTCACAATCAGACAATTCCCAGTCACAAAACACACCTGGCTCCTGGCTAATATCGAACACTGAGTGGTGGTGATGCAGTTTGCCTTCTATGTGTTGCATAGAAGTATGCTTTAAAAAATCAAATCTTGATGGAACATTAATAGAATGTCAAGAGGAGACTCTTTCAGTTATATTAACTGCCTTCCTAAACGGACAATAAAATTGAGTGCCTTAACATTAAGGATCAACCCTGTCAACTAACTGTATCTTCAATACTGACATTAGTTCAGCTCTTGGGAGATTAACCACACAGACAGGTGAATTCAAACTGAAACCCAGTCTGTCAGACATAGAATCAACCATGACACACCATGTCCAATTTACATTGGGTTGATGCTACATGATACAAAACAAGTAAGAGAATTTGTCTTCAAGTTCTCATTTTGGACACAACATTTCATATAAATAGTGTGTTTTGTCTCTCCTCTAAGATGGGCAATGCTGTGTGTGATCTCCATCTGCCTAGACTTATACAGTGGTATCTTCACTACAATAGCAGCTCAACAGAATCAGCCAACTATTTCACTGAATCAGGCATCTCTAATGTAGCACACCTCACATAGATAAAAGCATGGAAGGTGGTGGCACAATGCTTAGTTGTGCAAAGTGTTAGGATAACTAGACGACTATCACAATACTACAGTCAAACCTTGGCTCTCGAACAGAATCCGTTCCGGAAGCCTATTCGACTTCCGAAAACATTCAACAACCAAGGTGCGGCATCTGATTGGCTGCAGGAGCTTCCTGCACTCAATCGGAAGCCGCATTGGAAGTTTGGCTTCCAAAAATAGCTCGCAAAATAGAACTTCCAGGTTTGTGGTGTTTGGGAGCCAAAACATTCGAGAACTAAGCTGTTCGAAAACCAAGATACGACTGTATACTGTACCTCTGAACTGGTCAAGATCTCACCTTTCCAGTGGCCAATATTGCCACTTTTGGAACATGCAAATTCATATGAATTCATATGAAAATACTACAATAAGAAAATCTACTGAAAGTCATCTACAATTTAGCTACAAGAATGGGGAATGGGTGGGGAAAGCAGTCCCCTTCCTGTGTAGCTGCCCATTCTGAAGTTTGATTTTGTGTATCTAATGGTGTGTTTGGTATGGAGGGAGAAGTGTAAATAGAATAAATATTCTTATATCTTGAAATATATAAGATAACCATTCTGGTCTAGTTCTTACTTTCGGTCCTGCCCATTTGTGATAGTGAGTGAGATTTACTGGATGTGTGTTGTCTGCTTTTTGAACCTGTGTCTGCAGCATGAGATAGAGCATCTTTCTAGCCCTTTGCTGATGACACCAAGTTGTTCAGGGTAGTTTTTAACTAAAAGTTGCTGTGAAGCACTCCAAAAGGGGTGAATGAGCATTAAAATGATAAATATGATTCAGTGTTAAAAAGTGTAAAGTGAAATATGCTGGGGCAAAATATCCTAACACTACATATATGCTATTGTGGTCTGAGCTGATGGTGACTGACCAAGAACCAAGATCTAAGGGATCTTGAGTGGATAGCTCAATTAAGACGCTGACCAAGGTTGTGGCAGCAGTAAAATGGAGGAATTATATTTTAGGGATCATTAGGGAAAAGGATTGAAAAACAGAACCGGGGAAAAAAAGTCACCACATCTCTTAAAGCAGCGATGTCCTACCGTGATCGACAGGTAGATCCACAGGGATGCTTTTTGATCCTGTGTTTTAAAAAACTGTAGGGGAAAAAACTGTAGGGGAAAAAATTATCTGCCCCGCCCTCCTCCGTTGCATCTATTGTTAGTTCTCTCTGCCCCCTCCCCAAAAGCTCACAGATCACAGTCTCTTGGGAGTTGGACGCGCCTGTCTTAAAGGATATCATAATGCAGGATTTATTTATTTTTAGAAATGGTAGTGCATCACCTTATTATTATTTTTTAAAGATTTGCATGAGTGTTCCTGCACCATTTAAGGGAAGTACTTTTCTTTACAGAAATAAAAACCTTAGAACCTTGAAAATACCGGTAATCACGCTGTGTAGGCATGAATGGACAGAATGAGACAATGTCCCTCACTGGTAGCTCCACCTATCAGAGAAGCTGTGATTTTGCAAACTGAAAGAAAAGGTTTTCTCCAGTGAGATCCAGTGTGGTGTAATGGTTAGAGTGTCTGGAAGAATAGGACCTGGGGGACCAGAGTTCAAATCCCCACTCAGCCATGAAGTTCACTGGGTATTACTTCCCTATACATGCCTAAATTTAAGTTACACTGTGCTCTCTATATGACCTGTTTTGCTATGGCTGGTTACAATCCTCCAAGTACCACAAATTGCAAAAAGAACCAAATATGAAAAAAGAAATAGAAAGTGTCATTGCACTGAAGGGGGGGGGGGAAAGGCAACTAGCCATTCAGTTTTTGCACCTGTAATCCAGGTTCCAGAAGCCATGTGGCAAATAGCTTTTCCATCCCAGTTTTTAACATTGCACCACACTGGCTTCCTAGAGTACTTCAGCCATGGGGCAGCTATATGAATTAAGGAAGTACATAAATATGGGGAAAGCAAAATGTCACCTAGAGAAGGATCTGAACATGAACCACTGGTACCAAACTGTATGGAAATCAGCCTTACTAGAAAAGCTAACCAACAAACTGAAATTGACCTGGGGACAAATAAAAGAGGACACCTTCAGCCCGGTGTGGCTCCCCTTTATTACACACACAGCCCAACAAGGCAACAAGAAGAACTCACTGACAGCATACAAAACAATATGGCTAACTTTACCCAACAATTCCTCTCTGCAAAACTCACTGCAGCCAACTGAAGGCAACCATCCATGCCCTGGGCCCCCCAACCTCTCTCAATGCCAGTGAAAACCAATAAATGAATAAAAATAACCTACCCAAACAAAGCTGACACAGAAACCTCACACATATACTATGTATAAGAATGAAAGTTTACTACACCCTCTCTTCCCCCAACCTTATACTGCATACAACATTAAAGTCTCACATCAAATATGACTAATCTGTAGAAAGTACATTATGATCTGAAGATTGAGATGATGTACGTAATTTCGTAACCAATGAAAATATTTAATAAAAACCTTTTTTAAAAAAGCATTCAGATGTTTCACTGGCATCTAATGCTGGAAAATTCACAATACAAAAGGGAAAGCAAACATTCTCAGCCTTCTGTGGAGAGAAGTGGTCAGACTGGTTGAAGATCCATCAATCCTTAGATGTTGAATGCCACCTACACTGCAAGAATGCTAGAAGAACTCAAGGATGTACAGCATCAAAGTGAGAAGAAAGACATAGACAGTCACGACCAAATCCAAGTGCATAAAAAGCATTTGAAGATGATGTCAGGGCTCTTGTGGAGGCATTTTAGTTATCCAAAAACCCATTTTTATTGTTGATGTTAAACAGATAGAAAATATGTTTATAGTTAGTAACTTTGGGTGAAATATGCCCTATACTGCTTGCAATGTCACAAAATGTGAGCATTTTTTCTGGAACATTTTTCTAGGGCATATGGAAACTGAAAGGGATAATACACATATTTCATTGCAACACGTGTTCACAAAAACAAGAACACATTAGGAAAACTACCACATATGAAGCACCTGCACTCTTTTAGAGATATGGATAAAAAGAGGGGCATGAGAGGATCTAGGCACATGAACACTTCATTGTAAAAATTCATGTGAACTGTTGCCATGATATGGCAGATATAAAGATACTACTATTTGTTGAATACTGTACATCTGTAATCAGCATCCTAGATGTCCTTAGAAGAAAACTTAATACTGTAGATCTGGAAACAACAAAGCATTTCATGCTCCAAACCACTGTTTCTATCACTGCCCCTCATCGCTATGCTAGTCTATTCCCTAATTTTAAAGCCTTGAGTGGTGATATAAGTAACCCACACTTTGATTTCCAATTTAGTAATAATATGAACAGAAGAAAGTTACACTCTTCAATGCACGTGCATATAGCATTCAGAGTAACACTTTTTCTATATGCATATAGGAAAAGAGACCTGGGAAACTTTGGAAGCAGAACATACTGTCTCATGAAGTATCCCTGTGCTTGCCAGCCACCAGCAATTTCACTTCTACCTGCTGAAAGCACTTCCAAATTGTCAGCAGTTTAGCCACTGAGCTCAGACCATCTTTCCCAAAGCTTGCTCACTGGTCTATACACTGCAAACTGCATTCTCACCCCTCTCTAGCATAAAGGGGGAAACCTGCCAAAATGCAAGATCAATATTTTAGACTTTTTGACGGCTGAAGCAGTTATCTGAATTAATATTGGAAACATGTTTCACTCTAATATGTAAAAAGGTTTCCCCTTAGCTATGAATTCTGTGCTCCAAGAGAAGCTTTCACCTTGTTTCTAGAAATCACTGCTCTGACCATCATCTGATTAGTAGAAGAAAAAAACTGAAAAATGCAGATAACCCAATTCTCATGCAGATAAGTAGAAGATTGTTAATCATGCAATTTTGCTGTGTCCATGTCAAGACTGACTGAATTGCATTACGTATGTGTATATAGACGCAGAAAAAACTACTTGTCCAGAGGACACTGACTGAAAGGGGGCAAACACAGCCAAGCCAGGCAGGGATATACCAGGCAGCACCCCTTGGGGGAGGTTCACAGAAGCCTTTATCTCACAACCCTTTGGGAGTTTCTGCTCTGAATGACAGGCAGGCGTTCCTCATCCACCAAAAATAAAAACAAAAACAAATAAATCCAGGCCTGCACAGATATGGTCTTCTCAGGACAGAATACTTTCTTTCCTACTTTCCATATGTAAGTTTAATTTATCTAAGTAAGAGTTACTGATAACGTAAGGGGGAAAGTACCTGCCCACCAAGAATGAGAGATGAAAAATAATTTGAGCAAAGGGAAAATAGGCCGCTCCCGCGTCCTTTTCTAAGTACGGGCTTTACATGCTTCCCTATTTTATTGAGCTGGGGGCTCAAATCCCGATTTTAGAGGAGCCGGTGCCTCTGCCAGCTGGAAGATTTTACCCCAAAGCGAGTCTTTCGACCATAGGGTTTTCCGAACCTCAAGACTTGTTTTGTGGCAAAGGGAGCCGCGGGTCTCTTCCTCTGGGTTTCGAGGAAGTTTTTACCTGGTTTTTAGCGGTGCCGATGCCGGGCGAAGCAAGAGGCCCCTTCAAATAAACGCACCGCCTCGGGAAGCGAGCGACCCTCCTCAGGGGCAGCCAAGGGACCGAGCCCAGTCCGAAGACCCCGCAAGCGCCGCGGCCTCCTTCGCGCCCCTTCGGCGCTAAAGCCCCAGCAGCGGGCAGCGGGGTTTCAGGAAGGCGGCTCCGAAGGCCGCTCTCCCGCCCCGAGAAGGCGGCGACCGGGCGCGACGGCGCCCTCCCCGCCGCTGCCCCTCAACCCCGGCAGGAGACAAAGGCGAGGCCTCGGAGGCCCAAAGTCAAGGGCGGCCTATGGGGGGGGGAGGAAGAGGAGGGAGGGAGGCAGCTACGCCAGGCCGCTCGCAAGCCGCCTCGGCTCCGCCAAGCTGCGAGGGGGAAACGGAGGCTGACACAAAGAAGATGGTGCAGGCCGCGCCCTAAAGCGGGCGCCGCGCCCCGTGACGAGCAGCGGGAGCCTCCCCCCGCCCGCCGGCGCCCGCGCCCGCCGAGCTCACCTCAGTCAG